TAGATTAACCGAATTTAAGAATCTTATGGGAGGTAACAGTAATGTCAAAATATTCCAAACTCGGTTAATTTGGATTTTTAGGTAATTCGAGTGACCCAGAGCCCCTCCCTTTTTTTTTAATTAAGGAAGATGTTGTGTAAATATATAAATTATGAACATAGTTTTTCATAGGGCTTGTTCTTAAAGTGCTGTCCCCTTTTCTCATGAACATTACAGTAATCCATAGGCAGTTAATACAAATATCTGTAGGCATTCGCTACATCATGGGCTTTCACTACGCTTCTTGAATACCAACCGTAGGCATAGCTTAAAGGGATACCTCCATATTCTTCAATACAGTCCATAGAGCGATGCTGTACATGGAATCTTTATCCAAAGCAAGTCTAATATGTCTTCATTTTCAGGTTCTTGCCAAGGACAATGGCACTCCACAAAGAAGTTCAACAACAAGTATTATCATTGAAGTAATTGATTACAATGACAATGCTCCTCAATTTGTTAAGGAGAAATATCATGCTTCAGGTATGTGTATCACGGGTGTTGTGGATAGTATTGTACATTATAAAACAGTATGTACACTTTTGACATTATTCTTGAATTCCGTATTTGGTTTGAAGTTAAATTTATATTCCTAAATATACTGTAATTACATATACTCAATAAATGAAATATATTCAATGGACTTTCATGCGAGTTTATCTGCTTCATTACTGCAATTGGCTCGACTTAAGAGTTTAAAAAAAATTTATTCAAGCTTCAATTGAGTGACGTATTTTCTCTTTCAGTAAGGGAGAATGCTCTCCCTGGAACAGTTGTAGTGCAGTTGGAAGTTCTTGACTACGACTTAGGGGGAGGGGCCTTGGATGGAGAAATGGGACAAGGCATCATATATTACCTCACTGCTGGAAATGCCCTTCAACACTTCCATGTCCGAGGAGGGGGCCAAATATATGTTGCTAAAGCTCTTGATTGGGAGTCAGTGGACAATTATGCTTTAGAAGTTACTGCAACAGATGGAGTCTTTGTTGCAAAGTCTTGGGTCTTCATTCAAGTTTTAGATGTTAATGGTAAGCTAATATTTTCAGTATCAATATCATGTGTTTCACTTCACTGATGATCTCATTATTATCATTATTTTTATTTTTCTGCTTTTATCTCTGTTCAGTCAATAGTTTACTGCTTAGAATACCATTGGATGGTTTATTTGCAAAACTTATGGTAGAGTATCTATCATCCACATTGGCATTTTCCCTTTTTCAGTTTTTATCATATTTATTTTTATTTATTTATTTTTTTTTTTCAGTACAGTATTGTACTGTAATTGGTTATACAGTACAGTTGGCCCTTAACATATGCGGGGGTTACGTAACAGAGATACCCAGGGATGTTAAAAATCCGCGTATTTTTGCTGCCCCTGGCCCCCCCATATCCTTATTTACCGTATATACCTGTGTGTAGTTCGAGTTTTTAAGACCAAATTATTTGGCAAAATATTGGGGGTCGACCTCTAAATGGGTAATAGTTTCGTTAGGTTGAAAAATATTTACCAGTAACTACCAGTAAACAATGGAAACGATGCACCAACGCACCACCAGCTGTGAATGTCGGTACAGTTGCCAGGGCAGATCTTTTGCGCCATCATAGCAAGCCCAAAGTAGCCAAATCCATGGTATGGTAGCACAGGACGATGTAAAACATAAAGTATTCATTTATTAAAGTTTATTTATAGATACTGGACATAAATTTTTGTTCATTACATTTGAAACATCAATCTTTGTTAATTAAATTTGAAACAAAAGAAAACTACGATACCGTATTTTCATTAAAATATTACATCACAAGTATATTTTACCTTAACTGTGACTGAATGAATATACGTATTCTCAGAAATAAATTTGGAAATATAATATTTTTGCTGGAATGACGTACATATTACAGTGGAAAGTGGGATAAAATCATGACGAAAACAATGACTTTCGCTTTCTTTCGTTATTCAAAAGATTTTACCGTAATCGCTTTTCGAATGGTTTTCAGTTAAAAAACTGTTGTGCTCGTACTGTATTACAATACAGTAATATTCTATCCTATCATTAGCCTTATAATCCCACAACTGAAAACCATTCGAAAAGCGATTACGGTAACATCTTTTGAACGAAAGAAAGAGAAAGTCATTGCTTTCATCACAATTTTATCCCACTTTCCACTGTAATACGTACATCATTTCAGCAAACTATTACATTTCCATGTTCTCAGAAATAAATGGTAGTTTTGTTGAAACGTAATGTACAGTATTTAATATTAAAATGCAAAAATAGCTATAAAAACAATTAATACACCCGTAATGTACTGGCTGGCATCTCCACTCATCCCTGCTCCCGCGTCCAAGGTCACCACTCCTCCCAACTCGCTCCCTCCTCCGCCTCCTCCACCTCCTCACCGTCACTACTGCCGACAACAAACACAAATGTTTTGTGAATAACTGCACCTCCACTTCCGATGTACAGTACTGAACTGTACTGTGCTGTGCTGTGCATTTTTACAAACAATAAACATGGCAAGAAAAGCTATAAAAAAAAGAGATAATAATTTTACTTTACTGTACAGTACCTATCCTCGGCGACAGGACGGGGGTCATCGGGCTGATCGTCACTCAATTCCATAACGGGTGGTGAAGTGGGGGCGACGGTGGATTCAGCTGCTTCCTCACTGCCGCCAGTGATTGATGGTGTTAAATCTCTCCTTCGGTGATCAAAGAACATGGTGATGGGGAGTTGTCGTCTCTTTCTTTTCATTTCTTCCATGATGTTTTTGTATGGAGCAAAAACGTCATCCATCCCTCGCATGAATTTCAGGGCACCCACCATGGAGGGGACCAAACTATAGGCCAGGTTTTTCAGTGCCTCAATATTCCTGGTCATCTCCCCCAACTTCTCCAACGTTATTTCTTGGTGCTCTTCCTCTTCCTCATCCTCTTTCCCTTTCGCTTCCTCTTCCTCTTCCTTGCCTGAGTCTACTAACTCCTGTAGATCCTCCTCGGTCAGCTCAGTGTCGTGTTCTTCAATTAGCTCCCTAATTTCGTCCTCTGCCATGTCCTGGAAGCCTTCAGCAGCCACTTTCCTTGACAGTGCCAGGGTCTTTCTGAATATTTAAATTAAAATCCATCAAAATCATTTTCCTTGTCATCGTCTTAAGCACCAAACAGCTCCTCCCAGTCTTCTCCTTGAACAGGGCTAGAGGGTACGTGTTTTTCGAATCGTTTTCAATTAAAAAATGTTACAGCACATGTATATTTTACCTAAACTGTGCCTGAATGAATATATTCTCAGAAATAAATAGTAGTTTTGTTGAAACGTGATGTATTTCAATGTAAAATAAGATAAAATACATGACGAAAACAAAAGACTTTACCTAACCTTCCAATGTTCAAGAGATGTTACTCGTTTTTTAATAGTTTTCGGTTAAAATACTGTTATATTACAATGATATTATATTAATACTGTGCTTGATATAATTACATCACGTGAAATATTAAAGGAATGACGACGACATAATCGCGACTTAAAACACGATTTTTTTCGTTCAAACAGAATGCCAATGGTTTTCAGTTAAAAAACTGTCATAATCGCCGCGAATTGATGAATATTATAGTAATATGTTTTTTAATTGAAAACCATTCGGAAAAGGATTACGGTAATATCTTTTGAACGTAGCAGCGAAATATTGCTTTCACACTTTCCACTGTAAAACGTACGTCATTTCAGCAAAATATTACATTTCCATATTCTCAGAAATAAATACAGGTTGTACCTCTCTAGTCCGGCATTCTGTGGTCCGGAAAATCCCGTGGTCCGGAACGATTTTAGTTTGTCCAATAGGTAGATAGGCAGCTTTTTTTTTTACTTATCTGAATTATTATTATTATTACAGGAGTATTAAATTTTTGCCCCTCAGGCCCTAATGTGGGTCAGTGACCTATTCCCGGGTGGGCTAATCCCCTTAAAAAAAAACCCTCGGGTAATTAAGGTTTGTTTACATCCGGCAGTTCGGCTGCTCTCTCTCTGCTTGTCTATACAGAGTACAACATTTAACCCTTCAATATATATGAGCAGTAAATAAGTGTTGCTTTCATATTCTTATGTAGAGTAATGACGATATATTTTCACATGTGCACACTTACATACGAGCAGTCTCACTTTTTTTTTTACCATTAATGGTTAGCTACTTATATTGTTCCATTTATTAACATTAAATAACATTACAGGTACTTCAAGCAACCATATTCATTTTTTACATTAATTTTACTACAGCTAAACTCAGGGTCTTATTTTCTTCAGTTTTATATGTAGAACCAATCAGTCACTGGTTTCGTAAGCTTTAACATAAACAATGCCGGCAGCCGTCTCGTCTCCTCTAATATTCCACGTATTATTAATAAATTGTATTGTTAATTTTGCACACACGTACATTAATTCAATAAAAACAAATTCAGAAACATTAATTAAAATATATATGAACAGTAAATAAGTGTTGCTTTCATATTCTTATGTAAAGTAATGATGATATGTTTTCACGTGTGCGCATGGCCACTTACATATGCGATCTCTCTTTTTTCTTTACCATTATCGTTAGCTACTTCTATTGTTCCATTTATTAACATTAAATAACATTACTTAAAACAACCATATTGATTTTACTACAGCTACAACCAAGGTCTTATTTTCTTCAGTTTTATATGTAAAACCAGTCAGTCACTGGTTTTGTAATCAACGAATACAATGCTGTGTCATTTCCTTGTGTGTTTTAATATTCTACGTATTATTAATGAATTGTATTGCTCATTTTGCACACATAACATTAATTCAATAAAAAAGACATTCAGTAATAAACAATAATGAATCTTTTGTACATAAGAGAAATGACCCTGTTTACACGATTATGCACGTCATCTGCACGTTGGCGGGCCGTTCAAACCCGTCGAAATTCAAGTTTCCTCCGTCAAAATTTTTATTTATTTTTTTTTTGTGTGTTCCAATAAAATACGTTAAGAATTAAAAACTCGCGAAATTTGAGAAGCTACTATACGACATTAACCCTTCAATATGTCTTCAAAGAGACCATGATGCAGAGAAAGTGGTGCTAGTGCTTCCAAGCATAAGCACAAGTCACTATCTATCCAGGAAAAGGGTGAATTTCCATGGTCCGGCAATTTCCATGGTCCGGCAATTTCCATGGTCCGGCACCGGTCAGGTCCCGAGGTTGCCGGACTAGAGAGGTACAACCTGTAGAAGTTTTGCTGAAACGTAATGCATTTCAATGTAAATTAGGATAAACTACATGAAAACAAAAGACTTTACCTAACCTTCCGATGTTCAAGATATGTTACTCTTTTTAAGTAGTTTTCGGTTAAAATACTCTTATATTAGTGATATTCTATTCATACTGTGCTTGATATAATACATTCACGGAAATGTAATATTTTTGCAACTACAATGCTGATGTCAACTCAAGTGTGGTTACAGCAAGACTGACTGAGTGAGGGAGAGCTATGCGTGTGTGTGTGTGGTTGCGGGAGCGGGCGGTGTCCCTTGTTCGGTGCCGCACGCGAGTTGAATGGCGCGCGATTTGAATGTACTTCAATTACTTCAATGTACAGAATATTCCTCCGGCGGGGTAATCCGCGTATGTTAAACCCGCGTATGTTAAGGGCCGACTGTATCTCATAATACATTACGCCCGGATAATACGCGAATTTTTATTTCGCTGTACCCAAGAATGTTTGCGGGTAGTTTTAAAGTTGCCAGCATTTCCACAGATGGGACTGGGAGCCATTCATTCTAGAGACAATAATATCCTTTACCTGTATTGTATTTATGTGTGTGTATGTGTTGACACACACACACACACACACACACACACACACACACACACACACACACACACACACATACAAATAAATAATAATGGGAAAATACTCTCACAAATAATCAGAAACAAATTTATTAAAAATGTGACAGTCTACCCCCAAGTCTACTTCGTGCTTGTTATTATTAAAATACAGAGTAAACTTGAGGGTAAACTCATATTTTTAATAAATTTGTTTCTGATTATTTGTGAGGAGATTTTCCATTATTATTTATTTATGTATTTTGTGTGTGTGTCTACAAACACACACACGCACACATATATATAATACAGATAAAAGAAATAATTGTCCTAGGGGCAAACACATAAGGGGAATATACATTTCTTTGTACAAAAGTAAAAATTTAACCCCCCCCCCTCTCCCGTGGTCAGCAAATGTTATTCGCGGATTTGGCAATTCCCGATCATTTTGAGAACCTAACCCTCGCGAATTTGAAGGGCATGCTGTATTTTATTTTATTATACAGTAAAGAGCAGGGCCGGCGCTACCCACTAGGCGAACTAGGCGATCGCCTAGGGCGCCAACATCTGGGGGCGCCACAAATTCAGGGCAAACTTGGATAAAATTAAAAATGAAGGGAAAACTGTGGTGGACACTGTGGTGGAGCCGTGGAGGGTCGGAGCAGGATGTTAGAAGGGTGGGGGGTCAGAGGGAGGCGAGGGTAGGTAGACGGTAGCCGACTGCGTTTTCTTTTTTAATATTATTCGTTAACCCCCCGGAGGGACTAACCCGGGTCCTTATCTTTGGCGGCCTGGAGAACTGTCGAGCAGTGACCTGAAGGCTGACATCTGAGGAACCCTTCTCCCAACCCCACCATCCCCTCCCCTCCCTTACTGCCAGGGCGACTGAGCCGCCCCTTCCCTGTCTTTGTCGGGATGAGGCAAGGTTACCTGACCTCTGAAGTTTACGTCAAGGATTTATTGACTTAATGTAATAACAATAATTGGTTATTTGCATGGGTGAAGTAATAAAGCCACAAGATGAAAACAATGTAGTAATGGGTTACTGTACCTACATTAGCTTATCAAAACTTTCAAGGGGGCGCACATCTAAAGGCTTGCCTAGGGCGCCAAATCATCTTGCACTGGCCCTGGTAAAGAGTATTCTAGATCTGTTTTATTTATCAAATTAAGAGTTCTGAAGACTGTATATAAATTATATTCTGTAACATCAAAAGCCAGTTTTATATCTGACATTGGTTCTGGCCTTTATGTATCTATTGTACAATCACTCAAAAAATTATCTACACAAAATTTTATTGAGAAAATGACAATGGACGAAGGATTTTGACAACCCTACCGAGACGAAAAGAGTCTCGGTGTTCATTCTAAAATTCATTGACTCCTTCAAGTACAGATAGTTTTTTGAGTGACTTTACTTCTACTAAGAAGCAGGGGCTTACAGATTTGTCCACCCACCCATTCCAGTCTTGTGTAGACACACCGGTATATATGCTTGATTTACAGTTTACACAGTGCTTGTTTATTTGAAATGTGGGCTTAAGGTTGTGTTGTTGAAGTTGTGCTTTAATCATTAATTTTTAATTAAGTTTAACAAGTAAGATTTTTCTTTTACTATTATACAGTATCATAGTTATCACTTTGTTCTGTAGATATGTATGTTTAAGTATATTTAAATTTCATCTTTCAGATAATGGTCCTCTGTGCACCACACCATTTTACCGGCACACAATCAGTGAAGCCGCCTTGCCTGGTACTCCACTCCTCAGGGTTTCAGCTACTGACCATGATCTTTCACCCAAACCTCAGTTCTATCTCACTGGTCAAGGTGCTGGAATGTTTGCTATGGATATTAATTCTGGACAGCTTAGTGTGGCAAAACCTCTAGACCGTGAAAGGCAATCAGATTTTATGCTCAAAGCTACAGTAAAAGATGGAGAAAAATTGGATTGGGAATGCACATGCCAGGTGGAGATACAAGTTACAGATGTGAATGATAATCCACCCATTTTTGGCATGCCCAGTTACAGCATCAATGTACCTGAAAATTCTCCTGAGAACTTACTTTTATTGAAAGTTCATGCATCTGATCCTGACAAAGGTAAAAGAAATTACTGTACTGTACTCATATACAGTCTGCTCATGTTGGACTGTTTGTGTTGTAACAGCATATGTATTGGTGGTTATATTTTATGTTGTATTTGAGATGATTTGATAAAGGTCAGATGGGTACATTTGTTTCCCACTTAATAATGCAATTATTTTAATTTTCTAGGAATCAATCGAAAAGTTACCTATGCCTTAGAAGGACATAATATATTTGTGATGGACCAGCAAACAGGAATACTGAGTGTAACTGAAACACTGGACAGGGAAAGCCGTGCCATGTATAATCTAACAGTCATTGCTACAGATCATGGGTCTCCAAAACTGTCGTCAAGAACAAATATTCTCGTACTTGTATCAGGTGAGATAGAATAAGTTTCTCTTTTTAATTAATATATTTTAGATTCACTTAATATATAAAACAGTATTTACACAATATCCCTAATTCTCTTAGGAACTTAAATACTATACTGTACTATATTCTGTAATGAGGTACCATAATCTATATACTGTATATTACTGTAATAGGAATACCTTGGCGTATTGTCTAGTTTAATATAGTACAGGAAACCCTCGCCAACTCCGGCCTACTCGAGAAATTGGCCCTCTCTTACCCTCAGTTAGTCTGAGTTGGCGAGAGTGTACTAAATATTAATTTGTGTTGCCCTGCCTCTGCTGTGTATACAGGGAGACATAATGACTTTTACTTTCCAACCCATACTTTCACTTCTCCCAGGACTGTTAACAAAATGATATAAAAAGTATTTCGCAAAGATCAGTGAAACATGCATATATCTTTATATCCATATCACGGCCAGATCCAGGCTGATGTAACCAGTGCACTTGCATTGCTCAAAAAATTCTGGCTGACGCAAAGATTTCATATGCATCAGTCAAATAATTGACCTATTGGTAACATGATCTCATTGTCAGTGTTGACCTGCATGGCCCACCAGCTTCTAACCATAGCTGTCACTTTCCGTACCTGAGTGGCAGGTTTGACAAACCGTCCCCTAGGGTGGGATAATCGGAGCGGGGTCTGGGAGTTGGGTAAGGTAATAGGTATGGTTACACTCATCACATCCTGACTCATATCACCTGAACTCCAGCTGGGATTTCCCTTTGGGCCATCACCTTTGACAATGTCAGGTAACAAGGGCCAGATTACGGTTGTGAGAGGCATAAGGCTGATAAGAGGGAAGGGACGAAACTGTATATGTACTACTGTATATTATACACATAAAAAAGGAGGTATTTACTCAAGTATATATTAACCATAGAGCCTTAATAAACATAAGTCATTTACTTAACCACCATTTGACGTTGTGAACTTGTGAACATATTTGCTGCCAGAATTCCTTACATGGAATTCTGTACACACATGCTGTAGAATCACTGATAGTTTTATTTCTTATCAGCATAGATTTAGGGGTGGAAGTATATCTGAAGGCAATATTTACATCGAGATCCTGACTTACTGAATTAATAACACCTTAGGTTTGATACGTAGGGCAAAGATATGTATGGTTTACTTACATCCGAGAGCAATTTAGCTTAAATCGGGGAATGTGTTACCTGACTTTGTCAAAGGTGACTGCCGGGCGTGGTGATGCCTAGAGGGGAAATCCCAAATGGAGCTAAGGTGATGTGAGGAGGACCTGCCAAGCTTCAACAACCTATCTGGAGTGTTGGCTGTCTGGCATTATCACGCACAGAACACATATTCACAAAAACAAGAGTCGACGCACTTTCCAGTCACAGAAACACAGAACAATCGACAAGGAACCATATACAGGGCAGTAGTGTGTGGGTTGGCCATGTGGCGGCGCATGGGTTGGCTAACAAGTGAAGGTACAGATGTGCGGTGCATAGGGTTAAATTTTTTTCCCTATAAATGTCACTGACTTGACATAGAAAAATATAACTTACATTGCTGGAATCCTTGCAAGACGGCGATTAATTTGAGTATAAGCAACCCATAGTTTGCACAACAAGAAAAAAAATAATTTTCCAATCAGTGGCTATCGATGGGTATTCGATGAATACACTGTATTGTTAAAGTGAGTTGTTTTGATCGTATATCGGGAGATGGTGTGAATTTATAATCACCGTTGAAGTGAAATAACACCTCTCGGGGTTTACCTGAACTATTGTTCTACAATAACTTGGGCTTGTATCTGCTGATCCATGAATAATGAATACTCGGACAACGAGGACACCCTGTACATTATTGATATACAGTCAACCCTCACATTACGCAGTCCCGCATTCCGCGGTTCACCGTTAACGCGGTGCCCTGCCGGAACCTAACATGCTCACATTCCGCGGTCGTGAACCCCATTACGCGGAGAGCGGCTGGTAAGCCGCGCCATTTTTGGATCCAAACCTCCCGCCATCCGCCATGTTGTGTAAGAGGCGCGAAAATGGTGCGCACAAGGTCGCCCAGTCATCAAAACATTACCAGTTCTTCACCCGCCACCCACTACAGCCGGCCCAAGTCAGTGATAGTGATAATTATAGTGAGGATATGGACTTATATGAACTTTGGGGGGTTTGACAAAGAGGCCCTGCAAGCCTCTGTGGTGGATAGTGATACAATTGATACAAGTGATACAGGTGAGGGCCAATAATCTGCCCTCTGCCTCGGAACCAACCGCCCATCCCCGTGTGCCCAGCCATCTTTTCTACTAATGTAAGTGTTAAAAAACCTAATATTATTGATATTTCTCTTAATTATTAATTGTGTGTGCATGCCATCATAAAGTTAAGATAATATTTTTACTACAACATAGTTGTGTGTCGTCAAAAAGTGGAGTTTGGGGATCGGCCTGGACTCCATTTCAATTAATCCCATATGTTATGTTGTTCACTTTACGCGTTCCTCACTTTCCGCGGTACCCTCCGGGTTACATTAACCGCGTAAAGTGAGGGTTAACTGTATACAGACTTACTTCATTTTATTTTATGAAAAAAATATAGGCTCAAATATTTAGCTAAACATACATTTATTGAAGTAAATTGATTAAAAATACTCTTTTTAATCTGGGCGAGCCTCGACTACAATAACTGAAAAGTTGCTTGTACCTGGATACAGTATTCTCATCATGCACAGTGGTTTATAGTCATCACCCATATTTTTGTGAGGGTGCATTCCTGTCTTGTGAAACTAAAATTTTACAAGAATTCACTTCCTTAAACTAATTGAAAAGGAGAATATGTTCCAAAGCATCATACTATAGGTAATGTTTGTTTCAAAATAATTAGATTCAGTTTATTAATTATTCATTATAACAGTCAATGTGTGTTGTCATTAACCATCTGAGTTTCCTCAAATGTTTGTTTGGGATCAAAGTGGTAGGAGTCTTCTCTTTAATGACAGTGATAGATGGATGTCCCCTTCCTTTTGGTCACATATGTAGAGATAAATGGAAGTGGAGATATTATTACAATCAAGGGTGCATTCAGCAGTAAAGTGGTGGGAAAAATTGAGCTTCTGTAGTGACTGCTAAAGGAACTGTCTGCAACATCATATAAATATTAATAATTGCGATGATTTATTGTGATATGCCAACATTTTAACTTCTGTGCAGATTAATGCTCTGGTAAAGATGACCTTTCTGTATTTTATGTTATTCTATATTCCATTTTATATTCCTGTGAATCATCATATTATTATTTTTTTATTCTCATTCTTATTCTTCAGGAACTATGGTGTGCTATTGTATTGTTTTGAAACGCTGCTGCCGATCATGGTGGCTGGTTATGCAACACCTTTTTTTTTTTTTTACATTATAATTGCCTAAAATTCACATGCTCAGGTTTTTTATAAGGTGTCTTTGTTTGGAGGGGGTGCTAAATTGTTCCCCCCCCCCCATTTTTTCTAATTATTTTTGTTGTGTGTGTCAGTTTCATTTCCATTTTAAATACAGTATTTAGTTTTGACATATTGTGTTATGCCTTGATTATTATTTTGTTTTTTACTATGTTTTGTACAAATGATATATGGGCAATTTCTCAAAAAATATATGCTGCTTCTGTCAGTTGGATAATATTTGTTTGTTGGATTCCAAGAACATTTTTCAGGGGAACTGATTTTTAGTACAGTGCTTTTCTTTGTGTTACTTTCTATGTTTTTAAATGTGACAGAAAGGACATAAAGAGAGTTTTTATTATAATTCCAGATGTTAATGATAACCCACCTGAATTTGCCAGTCATACTTACTTCACAACTGTGACTGAGAGTGCAAATATTGGATCAGACATTGTACGTGTGTTAGCAACTTCTAGGGACTCTGGAAAGAATGCGGAAATAACCTACTCGATCATTGGAGGCAATGAACACCGCAAGTTTGCTATTCATCCGAAGACAGGTATAGTTTCTCAGGACTACATATTGGACTAAAAGCTAAAATTTATATCGGTACTGTAGATACATATAAATTTTGATATTATAATTTACTTGTCATTTGTATTTTGATAACATGAATATTTCTCTGGGAATTGAGCATACTTAACTAGTGGAAAATTTCTCAACAAATGAAGCATTTTGGTGGAATTCATGAATTATATGTCAGGTAATGAGATTCAGTTTTTTTGTATTATCCTACTCACAAATGTTTTTATAAGTACTGTATTATTCTCAGATATTTGGGAATTAGTTGATTTTATCACTTTGTATGATATTTATTTATTCCTCATAAATATATATGCTTTTTTGCAGGCGTCGTATCCATCCTAGACCCACTGGACTATGAAAGAGCACATTCCTACCAGTTGACTGTTCAGGCAACAGATGGGGGTGAGCCACCACTCTCAAATCATGCAACCATCAATGTTACTGTTACTGATATCAATGATAATGAGCCAATATTCCTGCAGAACTCCTACTCTGTGATTGTTAATGAAGCTGCAATCATTGGAGAAAGATTGATTCAGGTAAAGTGGATTCTGTTTTGTCTTTTTAGACCAATGAGTCAAAGGGTGTTCAAAATATGGTTAAGTTATTCTTAGCACTAGAGGAAGGTGCATCAAATGTGTAGAAATATCAAAGTGAATAATTATAGGTTAATTATGTTTTCAATATCTTTGATTGTTGAATATGTTTAATTTGCCATCTAAAACATAGTAAATTCCTAACTAGTTAAGGTGGAACAGCTATATGGAAAAATAAGACTAGTATCTGAATTTGTTTTTATTTATTTACCCTAATCTTAAACCGAGTGAAATAGGGTACATTAAATTTTCCATGTTACTATGAACTTTTCATAGATAAACACTGCTCAAAAAGTGTATTTCTTTAACACTGAGACTAGTTGTCATATATATTTCTTCTCCACCATACTTCTTTACCACTCTTTATTCATTTTAAGTTCCATGTGTCCACACCATTTCGCTCCCCTTACATATGTGTATATTTCATAAATGGTAAATTAAAAAGAAACAAGGGGAAGTGAGCATATCCCTGAGAATAGTATCCATCTCAAAGATGTGAAAGACCTTGAAGTCAGTGTTGTGACAGTCTATGGCTTAACTCCTGTGGGTATAAGGGGTCCTCGCTATATGTTGTACCGATATACGTCTCCAACAAATATAGAAAAAAAATTTCAAACGTCAAGTGTTTCACATATACGCCATCTGCATCATCCAGTGTTAAAAACACATATTATAATGTAAAAATACATTGCTCAATTGTTTAAGTGTAACAAGTAGCCATATCAAGCCATCATGTACAGTGGTCCCTCGGTTAACGAACACAACTTGTTCCAGAAGGTCGTTTGTTAACCAAAAATTTCGTTAACCGAAACCATTGTTTCAATGGGATTTTGGGTAATTGGTTCCAATTCACCGAAAATTACATAAAAAGTAAAAAATAAATGCAGTAAAGTACACTTCCTTTGAGGTGTGTCTGTAGAAGGCTCCTGGTTGATGATGATGATGATGATGGGAATTAGAAGTGAGGGTGGAGGGGAAGGGAGAAGAGAAGGAAGTGAGGGTGGAAGAGAAATCACCCCATGCTTGATGCTGTCATTTCACCCATAAAATTTTAAGTTCACTAGGTGTAATTCAAGATTATTTTCTTTAAATCAACACTGCACTGCACTATATATTGTCAATATGTTAAATATATTACAGAATGACCAATAATTGTACTGTAAAAACATAAAAATACTCAGTGTTCAAGAGACCCACAAGCAAGATGTTTCCTCCACTAAACAGATGCAAACTGAGGCCTTGGTGGGTGAGTGAAGTGGCTGATGGGCACACCAAAAACTAGTTCCCTGTACTGCAGTTATGTTAAATAAGTGTTAAAATTACTAAAAAATTTAATATAAAACTTGGAAAATTATTGAATAGTACAACCTTCTTGATATTTACTCCAATTTTAACGAATGTAAGCCCTAGAACCGATTTCTGTATTGGCGGACGAATCTTCCAGCTGGTGAGCAAACATTTTCGTAAGAATTTCGTTAACCGAATTTTTGTTCGTTAACCGAAATGAAGATTCTTATGGAAGGTAATTCATTAACCGAATTTTCGTTAACCGAGGGACCACTGTACTGTATTACTCAAAGGTAACAAATAATGTTCTTGGGAATGTATCTCCATATCAAATACTATACATACAGTACAGTATGCGATAACTCCATTGTAAGGTGATTTGTTGAGATTTCAAGAGGTATTACTGTACATGTTGGAATGGCATATACTGTACCCTTAATTGCATTAATTCTTATGGGGAAAAATCCTCACAATAAAACCTTCCATTATAAGTCGCTTTTCTCTGGAATACATCCCTGACATATAATTAGGAGCCCTTGTATATTTAGGTTAATTTGCACTAAAAAATAATGAAGCATTTAAAAAAAATACTATCATAGTAATATAAGTTGTTTTAGGAGAGCTTGCTTGTTACATGTGTTCAAGAAAGGTTGACTGTCTTATGATATTTTCCTATGCCATTTCACTTACATATTCTTACTAACAATCTTTGCAGATATCTGTAATATGTTTAATTTCATCTTTGATCACTCATGACAACTTTTACTCCTCTTTACCTTACTTATAATAAGTCCATCAGAAAAATATGATACTCTTAAATAATTTGAATTATATCTTAATTTGTGTGAAGTAAAAAAAACACTTGTTAAACAAGGATATTTCTTGATATTTCTTTTAAAAATGTTCATGTTAAGATACCTTTAGATTTCTAGTTGTATTTTATCCACATATTCTGATATTTAACCAGGAGGAATTTCTGAAAATTAATAAATAAAATGGACAATTAATTCAAAATTTATGCATTTGAATGTATCCAAAGTTAGGGATTGAGTATTTTGTGTCAATGGTTGCAAGTATCTGTACTGTACAGTGTGTTACTTCTCCCTGGGCCTCGGCCCAACACTATCTAGGTAGTAATTTTGACTCCATAGCCAGTTGGAAATATGATTGGTTTGTCTAAAATTTGTTTTAGAATGTTGTATTGCCTGTGTGATTTGAAGTACAGTTGATTTCCCATTAGTTTCTTAACAAAATCTTAAAGGTCATCTTTTATTTGTACAGTACTGTAGATTGTTTTATAAAATCTAATTGTCTATACTGTACTATATTTACGATCAGTCTGTAATCGTAGTACAAAATACTTTAATTAATTCAAATTCACTTTTCTAGGTAATAGCAACGGATTTGGACAGTCAGGCAAATGGAAGGATTACCTATGGTATAGCCAATGGAGACCCTAATCATCAGTTTCGAATTGATCAGTTATCTGGCTGGATATCAGTGGCAGGTCCACTGGACAGGGAAACCGTTGCATCATATAACCTTGAAGTAATTGCTCTTGATCAAGGAATCCCTCAGAGATCAGGCTCTGTCATGGTGAATATTGAAGTGAGTGATGCAAATGATAATCCACCAATCTTTGTGGAAACAAATCACACAGCATATGTCCAGGTATGGTAAATTACCTTATTATATTGTTTTTGTTTGTTTATTTGTTTTGTAAAAATTGCATATATTTTGTATATTTTGCTATGAAATAAATTTATGCCAGTAGATTATATATACATATACAATACTGTATATATGCGAAAATCATGGGATAACAATGTTTATTTTCTACTACTGTATGCCTTACTATAGCTAATTTTAATTGTTTCCATTATTTCTATCCTTTTAAGGAAGACAAACCTGTGAACCATCTGGTATTTAAATTTGATGTGATTGATAAAGATGATGCTGCCCATAATGGTGGTCCATTCACTTTTGAAATAATATCTGGTAATGACAACACAGCATTTCGCATTACTCAAGATGGACACCTACGGACCGCTACTAAGTTCAACCATAAAGTGAAAGGCCATTATCGTCTCCAGATTAGAGTGTACGACAATGGTCGTCCACTCCTGTACTCTGAAACCTGGATTGATGTAAAGGTCTGTATTATATGCAGATGCAATGGTATTCATAGCTAACGAGTTAAGAACCATGAGTGATATTTGGAGAAATAAAAGAATTTGTTTATGACCTTCACTGACTTGGAAAAAAAAATAAACATGATAGAGTCAATAAAAAATTTATGTTGGATGCATTACAAATGTATGGGATAAATGGAGGCTGTTCACAGTTTGTAGAAGGAATATCGCAGGAGGGTGTCAGGAAGAGAGAAAATGGTTTCTAGTTAAAGTAGGATTTTGTGAAGGATGTACGATCGTCAAAATGAATGATGTCACGATTTCTAGAAATTTTCAATCAGAAAGTGGTATCTGGCATCTACCTGATTTGCTTTATTTTTGCTTTAAATTTTTTGAGGTGGAACACAATTCTGTGAAATAGTAACAAATTAATTAATAAATGCTAAAGCAGTTTCTCATAACAATATTCCAAGAACAAATCACATAGAAATTTTAGTATATTTTGAAACCAAATAATATGACACACAATGTTATTGCTGAAGGGCATTCAGGAATAATTTGTGGAGTAATAATTGGATGTTAAAATGAAAAGGTACTGTATACATTAATTGAGTTTAGTTTAAATTAATTTTGAGTAAAAAATATGATTTGAATAATACTCCTACTCACTACAGTACATTTATGCAATGTCTTTAATGAATATGTAAACAACTATACTCTGTATTCACCACCTCAATGGTTGCACACCAATGCTCTTCATTTTTTTATAACAATATATTTTGTATATATTTAGGTACACTCCATATCATGAAATAAAATAACTACAATAACATAAAAACAATACAAAAGAACACTGTGTGCGTGCATGCATGTGTGTATGTGTAATAATAATAATAATTAATGGTTTATTGAAAGAACATGTCAACCAAAAGGCTGAAAATATACAGTTACACATGTGTGTGTATGACATTTGTAAGTGACTAAACATTTTAACTAGCATTTACCATTGCCATGTGAAAAATTCTAGAATGCTTGGCGTATTTTTTCCTGCCACGGTTTGGAAGTAGTGTACTGTATAGGTTGAAGCGTTGGATGAGCATCTCCCACACATGCTCCTTTTCTAAACCGCATAGGACCATATGTGCGGAAAAAATCACTTATGTGAAGTAGACTTACATAGGAATATGAGAGCTGCAGCTAGGCCACCCAGTTTGAAATATTACTGTTGGGTATTGTAATTTTTAATTTGCGAATATCGAATAGGGGTTAAAATATCAATTGCAGATAAGCGGGGGTTGCGAATAGCGAAGTATGTATGCCTGTAATTGAAATTAATTACTCAGCCCTTTAGCACCCCAAATATGGTGGTAACAAATATTTAATTTCATCTAAGTGTTGAGAGGAAAATTAAGATAAACACCATTTCTTTTGTGTTTCAGATAATTGAAGAGTCCCGTTATCATCCAGTAGTATTCCCACTGCAAGTGACAGTGTTTGTGCAAACAGGTGAATACTTTGGAGGAGTCCTTGGTAAAGTTAAAGCTGCAGATGAAGATCCTTATGACACCTTGACATACTCAATTATGCCTGACCCGCTGGGTGTTAACACAAGATATTTCGGTACTAATCCACAGGATGGTACACTGTCTGCCCAAGGAGGTCTGGATGAAGGCACTTATACTGTTAATGTGTCAGTTACTGATGGCAAGTTTACAACTTTTAGTGAAGTTGAAGTTGACGTTGTTGACATAAGCGATGATATGGTAGAGAATGCCGTTATCCTTCGACTTGGAGGAGCAAACCCTGAAGAATTCTTGTTATCATACAGACGTAGTTTTCACAGAGGTGTAAAGAACCTTCTCAACGCCAAATCCCGTGATGTAATCATTTTAAGTTTGCAGAACAGTAATGCAAGAGTGCGAAGAGATAAAAAAAAATCGGTTCAAAAGTCAGTGTTTGAACAAGGAGATTTAGATATTCTTTTTGTTGTTCGTAAGTCTTCTTATGATTTCTATCCAAGGAACTTGGTTCGGAAGAAAATTTCATCTGGTCGTCAGACTTTGGAATCAGTTCTTGGGCTTCGGGTAATTGGAGTGGTAGAAGATGAATGTACTGAAAATACTTGTGAAAATGGTCATTGTGAAGAACGTATTGCACTTGATGATGACCAGGTAGCCATATCCACCGACACTATGAGCTTTGTTTCTCTTCATCATCGCCATGAATCCAAGTGTATATGTCCTAATGGCTTCTCTGGTGCTCGATGTGACATTGTTGTTAACCAGTGTGCCTATAAACCTTGTCCATCATACAAGAATTGTGTTCCAGACAGCTCTACACTGGGATATGTATGCCTATGTCCTGAAGGATTGGTAGGGGCTACATGTAAGCAAAACAAGTCCAGTTGCATTGGCAAGGCAAATAGTCCAGAATGTTATAGCCCAGTATCACCACTATCATTCAAAGGCAAGAGTTATGCCCAATATTCACTACGTAATCCCATTGAACGTCACTTCTCCTTCTCTCTCTGGTTCCGGACACTTCATCCATCTGGGAATCTGATGTTTACAGCAGGCAGGATTGACTACAGCATATTAGAGGTATAAGGAACATGTTCTCTTTATATATATATATATATATATATATATATATATATATATATATATATATATATATATATATATATATATATATATATATATATATATATATATATATATATATATATATATATATATATATATATATATATATATATATATATATATATATATATATATATATATATATATATATATATATATATATATATATATATATATAATTTTTTTTTTTTCTAGTAACTGTCTCATAATACTGTAACAGCTGAATTACTTGATATATGTTTCAACTATCAGGTCATCTGTCTAATTAACAGAACATTCTTATTTCAGCTGGAAGGAGGCGAGTTGCGTTATCGCTGGGACCTTGGTAGTGGTGAAGGAATGGTAGCCGTAACATCTTTGCGTGTTGATGATGGCCAATGGCATCATGTTAATCTTGAACGATTTGGCAATACTGCTGAACTAACAGTTGATGGTCAACACCGTGGACAAGGAGCTTCACCAGGATCATCAGACTTGCTCAATCTTGATACACCACATTTATACCTAGGAGCAGAAGTACGACCTTGGGCAGGAGCACAGGACCCACGCCAAGGACTTGTAGGTTGTGTAGATGACCCTAGAGTCGATGATACTCCCTTGCCTCTGACTCACACAACTACCACCAAAGTTGCATCACTCACTGGCCTGACTCATGTAGCACCTCACTGTCAAACAGCATTGCAGCCTCCTGGTGTTTGTGGTGCCCATCCATGTCTTAATGGTGGCACATGTGAAGAGCGAGGTGCATCTTTTATATGTCAATGTCACCCCCGTTTTCAAGGTTCACGGTGTGAGTTGGACTCTAATCCCTGCGCATCATCGCCTTGTCTGAATAATGGGCATTGTGTCAATGTTGAAAATGCTTACAGATGTGAATGTCCAGCTCGAGTGTCTGGTCTTCGCTGTCAATACATGTATTGTAATCCCAATCCCTGCCTAAATAGGGGGATATGTGAAGAGGGGATTTCAGGACCAATCTGTAAGTGCAGAGGATTCACTGGTGCATACTGCAACATTGATATCAATGAGTGTGCAAAGAACCCATGTCACAATGGTGGCACTTGCATCAATTCCTATGGTAGTTTCCGATGCATGTGTCCAGGGAATGCCACTGGAACATACTGTGATTCACACATAGGACCTCTTATTGACATTGGCATAGAAGAGGTATGTCTTCAAAATCTAGTTTTAAAGTTGTTATAATTTATCTCTGCATATTCTTGTATAACATGATAAACGGTTAGTGTTTTAAGCAATCCAAAAACATTTCCTATCTGCATAATCCATTTTTTAAATACTTTTTTTCAGATCATCTACATAGTTATTGGCATTGTAGCCGTCATCATTTTAGGCCTAATAATTGTTCTTGCAATGCACTGTCGAGAAAGAAGAGCAGCGCGAAGACGGCAACTAATTCAACAGACAAATCACGTCATTCTGAAACCCAAAAATACAGATAACCACAACATCTATAAGCGAAATTCAAAAATGAGCAACTTGGAAGCTTCCCAGGTAAATATAAATGAAGCTTTCAAGCACCCTATTCAGGATTTTGTGCTGTGTGCTGATATGTGTGTGTGTGTTCTCATGATTGTGGAAGTGTACTCAGGTAATAATATCACTAAAAATCTGGTTAAACAATGTTTTAATGCACCTGTGGTAATCTTTGAAGCTAGTAACATCTTTGGTAAATATAAAGAGTATAAAGACATTACTCATAATTCTTATGCTTTCTGTATTTTGGTAGCATTATGCAAATATCTTAAATCACACTTTAAAATATCATTAGTAGATCTCACTGCTAGATATTGCTTTTCATCACCGTATTGGCATATTAGCTCTTTATTATTTGATAGAAGCTGTGCATGTGCTATAGGCTTGAAAATTATTTTCACATGCATTTCAATAAGTTCTGGGACATTTTCATGGTTTTTGTTCTTTTAGAGTGACCCAACTAACATTATGGTAACTCATCAAAATGTAAGCATATAAATTAGTCATCTTAATGTAATTTGGTAAACCTTGTTACATTCTTTATCAAGAGCATTTTAATGCAAACCCATTCTTGTCAATTAGCAAACCATCAATGAAAATTAATGCTTTTGATTAAAATATGTAACAATTACCAGTTTTTAGTTTAAAAATCTGTATTTTGATGGCTTACCCTTCCTCCTGAGCAGCCCCAGTCAGGTTCTGAGTGTTGTGTTGGCTGTGCCTTACTGTTGTGTTGGCTTGTATGTGTTGCAGAATCCGCACGGTTGCACGCCTCGCCCCGACTCCTACCCCACTAGTCCTAGTGAACCTGCGTACATGCCGCTAAACAACTTTGACACCATCCGTAGCTACGGCTCAGCTGGAGATGAGCTAGAGAACCTCCCTCAATACCCCCGGGAGTTTGTCCAAAACATATCCAAGTCCAACAGCCTCTATCACCACCACACACCCCAGATTAATCCCCTGGGAACCCCCCGGGGCTCCACTTTGGGTTCTATGGTGGGTTCTGGTTTGGGCTCGACCATGTGCTCCCCAGGTACTACCACAGCTGCTGACACTGATAGTTTGCACAAGCCCTGGAAGGATGCACTTGCACATAATCTGAAGGACACCTACTATGAGAATAACAAGATTCAGAATGGTTTGTATTTTGTGTGTTTTGTAGCAAATGGGTGAGGATTTATACAAGAACATTACAACATTGAATTTTACTAAAACAGCTGACACCACATGTAGACTTTTTTTTTTTTAGTAATACATTGAATTTTTATTAAATTTATTAGTTGGTCACTGAAGTGCGTTTCATACAGACTCATTACGGTATAAGAAAAGTTATGAATCCTTATGTTTCAAATAATTACTGAAGTTAGTAATTCTGTTATGTTCAATTTTGCTTGCATTACTTTGGTGACCCATCTTTGTATTTTATTTTCTAATTCACTTCCATAGAACCTGTCATTATTTTATATAAAGGTTTTTAGATGTTGTTTATGTTACAACAATCTGTCAATCACACAAGGCAACCGTCTTGTTCTTGGCAGATGTAAAGTTCCGCCAGGGTGAGTACTTGAGCCTCAAGAAGCTAAGTGTAGACGGCAGCACCAGGGATGATGCCAGTGTACGTTCAGGGACATCAGTGGATGATCTGCCAGGTGAGATGATAAGAGTTTTTGTGTCCCAGGTTTTCATGTAAATTCTTGGCATGAGCTCACACTTTATGATGTGCATCTTACATTTGTTGTGTGTTTGAGTTGCATAAAGTTTTATGTTACTGTATTTGCATGTTTTTGCTTGTTTTTGGATTAGTTTGATATATGCCAGCACCTGCAGCATTACATCCATAAAGGTATTTTAAAGGTAGTTATCCTTAAAAACAGACTATAAATAAACAGTGAAAATTTTTCACTGCTGGGAAGTTGTTAAAGAATGTAAATTGTCTTATAAAATGGTGTGGTGTCTGAAGCAAGCAGCTTGATAGGTTATTAGTGATTCTCACTCTAAGTGTGCAGCTACAGCCAATTAATTTCTTAATGTGATTTGTAAGGCTAAGTTAGTTAAAACAGAATACATCCAGGACAGTATGTATAGATTATTGCAAATTAGTTCAGATATGTTAGAATTAAAACCTTTTTGACCAATTGTCTCTAGAAAGTAAAATGCGTGAGATTTGTTTTTATTATTTGTAGTCAGTGAACACCTCTTTTAAATGGACTTTTTTAGTTAATGGTAATAATGCTGTATTACGTATAACATGATACACATAAGGTAAAATGGCAGTATTCCTTGACATTGATATGACGTTTGTTTAAAAATCTTAATATAAGTTCATACCAGATCATCATCATTTTTAATGAGAGTGCTTAGTTAGTTCATATGTAAGTCCATGAACCATGAAATGACTGGCAAATTTTGACATTTAGAATTTTGAATGAGTGTGAGTGAAGCCAGTACCGGGTATACAGTATTAGCAACTGGATGAGATGGTATGAAAAAATTATGGTAATTTTTTTTAAGGCTGAGGCACAAAGAGTAAAAGGAAAATGTATGTTGAATAGCATACTTTTGTAACCTACTATAAACTCTGAGTTTAGAAAAAAGAGCATTAAACAGTGTTGCCTTTTGCACCCCTATTACATTTAGGTCATTTTGTTACTGCAGTTTTACATGATCTTCTGTCACACTGTTGTTTCCCTTAACCCATCTTTTCTTTGACATACAGTACTTCACATCATAAAAAGTAGACATACTCACTCCATATTCCTCCATTATCACTTTTACAGGCACATTTTTTTACAGTTTGTTCATGATGTCAAATTCTTCTTTTATTGTAAGTCTTTTTGCTGTGCCTCTCCTTGGCCCCTTGATGTCACATTTTTTTTTTCTGTAGCTTTTGGCATACACATGCTGTATACTGTACACCCCTCCCCCCCTTACACACTAGGCTACAGTAGGCATACACTGCCAACTGCTTTCTACAGTATTGTATGTATGGTTCTTTCTTACTTATTGAATGCACAGTACAGGTATCCCCCAATTTACGATCTACTTATCTACGATATTCTGCTTTAATGCTGGTGATGTATTAAGGCTACCCCCTATATACAATGTAAACAATCTGCATGAACAATGGTTATCATCAGGCCAACACACACTCATCTTTCGGTGCACTTGTCAGCTGCTGTCTATTCACGCGCTGCCATGCAGCCACCCATTGTACGACAGTGCCAAGCTTTGTTCCAGCGTGATCTCACATGGCCGTGATTGTTTAGCTCAACAATTATCAGTCAGTATCAGTGCTGTTATTTATCATCAGTGGTTTTTTGGGGTTATTTACTTTACAGTGAGAGGACACCATGAACATTTACTTTGTACTCTATTTTGGGGACTGAAGTTATTTTAGCTATGTTTTTTTACTGTAAAGTGCTTTTCCTCTGTTGTTGTAAACATGTGAGCAGTGTTGGCCACAACAATGTTATCATCGTTCGCTCTGTTTTTGTGACTGAAGTGAGCAATGTAACTTTGAAAATGTCTGGGAAGACCAAGGCACCCAGGAAAACTCTGTCTCTGGAGGTGAAGCGTGAAGTGGCATGAGACTCCCTAGAGCAGGGGTTCTCAACCAGGGGGGAATTTTCCCCCTCAGGTTTTCAGGGGGGGGGTGAACTGATACTAATATGGAAAAAATAAAGGATTTTCAGCATTATATGCATATTATTTGGAATGCACTTTTTGAGGCAGACAATCTTGGAAAGGAGGGGGGAATGACATTCTGACATATGGTGAAAGGGGTGCATGGGGCAAACAAGGTTGAGAACCACTGCCCTAGAGGCTTTGTGAGAGTCAAGAGTGACATCTCCACTCCACCTTGAAGAGTCCCCTCAGCCTCAAAAGTGACATGTAATGATGACCAGGCTTGTTCTTAATGATATGGTGAGTGTTGTTGAATTGTGTTGTAGGTATGGTATTGGTGTAGGATTTTTTTTTTTTGTACGTGTGGTTGTTGGATTGGCCGAGAACATATCGCATTGAACTCCATGTTAAAACGATCCTGATTTACAATATTTCGACCTGTGATGGATTTTTCAGGAACGTAACCCCATCATACATAAATAGGGGGATACTTGTATAGTACTGTATATGTAACTCTAATCACTTTTTACGTCTTGACACTGCTTTATCGGTATTCTTGGCTAGTTGTATCCTGGGACAGTAATGTACAGTACTGTACTGCACAACACAGATCGTATGTGAAAACAGCAACGAATGAGTTGGCAAACTTGTACAATGGCAGCAGACAATGAACTAAGCACATCATGATAATAGAGTTTGAGGAGGTGGCCTGTGAGATACATCAGCCAACCATAGGTAACCCTTGCAGTCACATGACAGTACAGTAGTAACCAATCACAGTGAATGAGTACTATGAGCCTATGACCTAAGTTTCCCATGCAACTGGCCCACCCACACGCACAGTGCATAAGGCAATCTCTCGAAAATTCATTTGAATGCCCAGAATGGAGAGGTTTATTGCAATTTCTCAGAATTTTGAATTTTATTTTCATGGTACAGTATTGGAAAGTTCCTAGGGTCAAATATTCCATTTTTGGGGGGATAATACCTTTACTGTAATTTTTAAAGGTTTCTGAAATAAATATCATTTGTGTATATGTGGGTTTGTTTTTAGGTGCATGTGTGTGTGTAATAATAATAATAATAATAATAAACGGTTTATTAATAGAGTTGCAGCTGGTGGCTGAAAATATACAAACTTAAATGTGATTTAGACATAATCATATGCGTTCAATACATTTACAGACCTGTACAGTACATAAATCAGGAGTTGTTTATTATTTTAACAATAGATGGGATGGTGCTATTCTTATATTTATCAGTGTGGGCTCTTATGGGCTGAATTTTGTTGTAGTAGCGGACTGCGCGAGGTGAGCAGGGGACTGCCTGTGGCAGGAGGTGGCATGACGAGGATGGTGCATTAGTCCACTGCCAAACCTTGCTAGTGCTTGGTGGTGGAGGTCACTGAGGGATGGCATTTCCAGGGTGGAGAGGGTGTTGTTGTAGCTGGAGTAGTCTGCGCCGAACATGATTCTGCAGGCCCTTTTCTGTACCTTCTCTAGCTGACGTTGTTGGGTAGAGTTGAGAGAAGACGACCAGGCTGGTGACGCATACGTTAATTTGGGGAGAATAAAAGTGTTGTAGATAATGTGTGTGTTTGTACATGCGTGCACGCGCGCGTGTGTGTGTGTGTGTGTGTGTGTGTGTGTGTGTGTGTGTGTGTGTGTTTGTACGTGCATGTTTTTTTTGTACATGTGTTTGTTTTTGTACCCTGTAAGTGTGTGTGTGTGTGTGTGACTCGATATCACACACAAAAGGATAACAATATTGATCGAAGAGGAAATAGCCAAATGAGAAAAATTTAGAAGTACAGTACAGTAATATCCCGTTAGCTGGAGTCCCTCAAACCTGGAACTCTCCAATAGCCAGAATTGAAATTTGCTCGGAATTTTTCAGGAAATTCCAAAAATTCCAGGTTTGGGAACAAATTCTGAGGTTGAAAATCAGGAGCATTTTCTGAAAATTAAAAAAAAAAATATGGAAAATCTGTCCAAATTTTTATTTTTGGGTCTGGGAGCAAATATCGATTTTGAAATAATGGGCAAACCATTTTTCTTCTTTATAATTGATGTTTTCTTATTTCAAAGGGTGATACGTATCCTGAGTATTGCTAATAGGAGTGCTCCTTTTTATTTTATTCCAGACCAAATTGGCAATATCTGCAATAATTACATATGGGAATTAAGTTGAGCTCTCTTGAACTTATACCTATGAATATAGTAATAAATTTTCCTACAAAATCATCTTTTTTTATAATTGACATTAATCATTCAACAAGTAAATCTTGCTTCATGAGTGTTTAAAACCAAGATAAGTGTCTGACAGAAAATGAAAATTAGTCTCTTAACCAGAACTGTGAGCTTTCTCCTTGTGTGTTCCTCTCTTTCTTCTAGCTCTGTGGATTTGTCATTGATTAACTTTTTATTATATCACCTCATAAGCATCTTTCTTCTCTTTTAATGTGTTTTCACTACCTAATTCTGCCATTCCATTCCACCTTGTTCTTCCTCTCGACATAACCCACATACCGTACATGTATATGCTTTGATTTAAATATTCAAGGTCTCTTTTACTATACTGTATTTATAACACAATCCTTATATTGCTCCAACTCCTTTCTTTAACAATCTTTAGTCAGAAGTAAATTTAGCTTAATGCTAGTGCATCTTGACATAACCCTCTTGTTGCTTCCTCCTAAATTGTTCTTTATCATTCCTGACACTCCCTCACTGTAATGACAATTGACAATCCACTGTTTAAGACTGTTGGGCCTCAAGACAATCCACCACTGAAGCTGCATATCACTCACGTGTTTATTACCCTTTATTACTGACCACAGTAATACAGCCCACAAATATTCTTTGTTTAATGTTATCATATCATAATGTAAAGCCAAGTGAATTTATGCATGTGATCATTGTTAGTAATACTAAAAAAAAATCTGTATACAAAGTCCAGTACCCTTTCTTCATTCACATGCTGTACAAAGTATTGCTCTCTTTGTATGTCCAGACTTTGCATCTGCATTACCTGTCACTATTACTTTTTTTTTCATATATTGACACACACTCTTCAGTTCCTCTCTTTTGAATTTGAAACAAAGTATTTATTATTGAGATGAAAGGTAAATGCTATAGTTAAACTACCATACATTTCCAGGATTTTTAAAAATAAAAATTATATGCTCAACAAGCCAGTGTGTCTGCATGTAAGAGATGGATAGTTGTTTGTGTACAGTTAGCCCTCTTTAATCTACTTTATAGAATTACTGTATATTTACTAAATTTGAAGCACTGTATTACAGAATAAATAAAATTATAGCTGCAATATTCAAATAGATCCTTGGATTTAAAACAAACTTATAGTTATTTAAAATTGCGATAAATCTAAATCTTGCAAATGGTGAGATGATGAGGGCTGACTTGGTTGTGAATTGTTGTGACTAACCAGTGTCTGGTGTCTATGTGGTGGCAGGCTACCACTGGGATTGCTCAGATTGGGCGCGACCATCCCAGAATCCACTTCCTAACATCATGGAGGTCCCTGGAGGTGAAGTGAGAGATTCTTCATCATACCATTCCAATGAATCAAATGAGTCTATAGTAGTGGAACCAACAAAAAACCAACCTTTGATGCCACCAGGTGGGTTTTCTATAAATCTTTGATTTGTATGAGGTAATCCTAATACTTTTGTTTATGTAAAATACTGTAGCACTGGTGTTGACTTTTATCAGTAAATGTTTGTATGAGAAGTATTAACCAAATATAAACATGTACACACACACCAAAAAGTATCGGTGCAGGGTGAGATCGACGAGTTCCGAAACGATACTTATGCACTGTGATATGTCGGGAAGGTTGGTAAGTGTATCCTCATAACCCCCCCCCCTCTCCACTAGGTGTTGCCATATGGCTGACAATCAGGGCTGCCAATATACGGCTGGAACAACTCGCCTTTCCCAATACCTATCATCACTGGTCTCAAATTGTTCACACTACAGTATGCACCGATACTTTTTGTTGCGAGTGTACCTAAATTGTAGAAACGTTAGTATAGTAAACCCCCAATATAACGGACACCATCTATAACGGACTTCGGCTTTAACAGACACTCTAATCCGTTCGGACTGGGTTCATATATTATGGACACAGGTCCATCAATGTAAAAAATAATGGATCATTCCTGTCCAAATTATCACAAATAATTACAGTAATACCTTATTTAGCCCATAATGCTGATTTGTCATAGAGCTCTTTGGTCCTCTCCTGGAGTTATATTTTACTAGAAAAAAAATTTAAATCCATATTACAAGATAACATTCGGGACTCGCTGACAGCGGCCATGCTTGTTTACAGCCTCTCCGCCAATGAGAGTGATTTACCCATGTACGCTCTTAGCCAAGCAGCGCTCTCCTCATGTAAAAAAAAGTTCCCCAGTACCATTCAACTTACTTGACATGTTTGCTGTTTATGTCACTGATTTCCACTTATTATAATAAATATTTGTAACCAAAGTTATTTTTTACAAGAAAAAAAAAATTATGAAAATCCATGATACATACAAGTAAACTGTTCACTTGTGCCTGGCGCTGTAGTGGTCATTATTACGCATCATGCCCTCCCCCACCACTTACAACCAACAAGTATCATATGTGTTACTAACGTGTAGAGTGACTTTGTTTATTCTGCTACCCTGCAGACCGTCACTCCATCACCCCAGTTTGAATGCATTCTCATCATGTAAACACCAGGTGGCAGTGGTGTACTTGCCATTGCAGCATTGTAGAAAGAAGCAATTGATAATCCCAAGGAACCAAATCACTGAAATGTATATGAGCAGATTAGAATGCGAAATAGGTATCAATGCAGGTTGATGTACAGTAATCTTAAACTTTCTCATATGAACAAGTTTCAAACTTACATTTTATCTTTTCTTTGGTTGCAGTTGAGGGCCCTGTAGATCCTGGCCGTGATATGGAAACTTTGCCTGCTGATGAGCTCATCAGTGAGTGTGATACAGAGTTTGAACTTGAATCTCGGCCTGATATGGATACCTCCCAGCTTCTCGATCCTAATTCTGATGCCGGGGCTGAATCAGACACCTCCCTCTTCACTCCACAGCCCCAAAGGTAAGCTTTTCTAATTGTCACTAAGTATACAGTAAACCTTGTACTGCATTTGATGCCATATTCTGCAAAAACCCTCTGCTAACATTTGCCTCCTCGCATGCATTGATATTGATGCCCTCCATAGTAACATAACATATTTTACGGCATATAAGACGCACGGCCATATAAGACGCATGGCCATATGAGACGCACGGCCATATAAAACGCATCCCATATTTTAGCAGGGAGTATTTAGAAAATTTTTGTGTATTTTTCTCCTGTATCCATAGTTTTCTTAAAATAATATATACAGTACAGTACCAGTAAATATGAGGAATAAATGAAAATAATACCAATCAGTAAGTTATAACAAAAAATACTGTACAGTACAGTAAAACCTTGCTAAGGTGGACTAATTGGGGGGGAAGGGGTATCCATGATAGAGGTTGTCCACCTAAGAGGAAACTTCTCTAAAAACACTGCCATTTTAAACAGAAAACAAGTACAACACCAATGTATCCAATTTTTATGAAAGAAATACATGTTTTTAATCAAAAGTAATCTGACAAAGTAATGTACACAAAGTAATGTACACTTACTTTTAGTTCACTGATAAGGTCTTGGGCTTAACCTTCTCACCACCTTTACGGATACCAAACACTTTCTTAAGGGCCCAGGTTATTGTTTAATTTTTCAATAATAATGCAAAAAATATGAATGCTACTTCAGCCTATGGTAAATGTACTAAATGTATAAAAAAGACTAAATTATATAAAAAACACCAAAAATATAGTACCATATTTTATGGCAGGGAGTATTTAGGAAAAAACTTTTGTGAATTTTCCTCCAGTAGCCATAGTTTTCTTAAAATAATATACTGTATACAATACAGTACCAGTAACTGTGAGGAATAAATAAAAATACTACCCCAAAGTAATTCTGTATTGCAAAATCAGTAAATAAAAACCAAATGAAAGTTTAACACAGTCGCCATTTGCAAACACTCCTAGTTTCACCATAGTAACGAAGATCAGCTGGGACACCGATTCCCTAGCAAAGCCCCCCCCCCCATCCCCACCTACACTGTGACCGTCTCCCCCCCCCGACACTGAGCCAACTAACTCGTGTGCAAAGAAATGTTTATTCCATTTACGTGTTTGCCTGTAGGACAATTATTTTTTTACTTTTTTCACAATGTGTATGTAGGATGGTATGTACATGTAACCGAGTAAAAATAAATGAAGAAAGTTACATATACAGTATCTACCCAAAAATACAAGTTGAAAAATAGCCATCTCGCAGCTTGGTCCAGTAGCCTTGTGGTTACAGTGATGAGTCTAACCTGGCTACAGTGCCATGATTAATCACTAAGCACGATTATATCAGTAAACACTAATCATAACAATGAATCCAGTGAAATATGGCAGGAAGGGAGGAGAGTTACAACAGCAGATGATGCTCTAACTAGTGGTAACTCACTTACTTCCACGCTCCCGTTGCCAAGCGTACGATCAAAATACAGTACGTATGGGAGAAATACATATCTTGTAGTCTAATTTGAAAACGGTGATGGACACAGTGATAAACAAATTATATAAACCGTGCATTTACCTATGATAACATAACAAGAAATATCATTTCTAGAGTGAACGAAATAATATTCCCACAAACAACAGTTGATAACTCTTATAGTCCTGCAAATATGATCAGTACAGTATCATTTGATGAAGTTTTGAAATATTTTTAATTTTTGAAGTTCTCCATTGGTGTAAAAAAATTCTGGCATTTCAATGAAAATTTCAAAGTACTGTATATTGTAAAGAAATATTGTTGTAGAAAATCATTCTAATCTTATTGCAAATTTTCCATTTTTAAGTACGTACCTTTATATTTTTCTCTCATATGTTTGTACAGTAGGGTATAGGTATTTCTGTAATGAAGCTTTTTATTATTGCTGTACTGTTTTTTGTATTATTATTATTAATATTACCATTTCTTGTGCAGCATATTTCAGATTGTAGATGTTGATACTTAATTTTTTATGTACTGTTGCTTGTACAGTACAGTACATACTGTATTATGTAGTATTATCATGATTCAAATACTTTTTCATTACATTTTACTGCCAATTTTATCATATACATACAATATACAACATTTATACATTATAAATACAGTACAGTAAAATATAGTATCATCTGACTTCTACATAATTCACAGAAGTAGGCATAATAATGAGTAGATTGCTTAACCTTGGAAGTGGGCAAAGTGGCAAGTACTGTAGATTGTTTAACCATTGAACTAGGCATAGTAGTAAGTAGATTGCTTAACCATTTTAACCATTAAATTAGGCTGCAGTAGTACAGTAAGTAGAATGCTTAACCACACAATATGGAGGAGTGGCTGAACTGAAGGAATGAAACCAGGAATACAATATGGCCAACCCTGTTCACAGGCGGGATGGGCACACACTTTTTACTTCAAATGGCTATTCATGCTCCAGAAGATAACTTTAGGGACTATGATGTGACAGGGACAGCAGAATTAATTAATGAATTAGTCTCAATTACTAATGTCTTGAGAGTTGTGAAACAGTATTTGCTTATGGAGGGTGTCGGGTCATAAAAAAAGATCATAGAACCAATCAGTGGAGTTAAGAAGAATCTTGATTCTCGGAAAACTTCACTCTTCATTCATAGAAGGTTCATGTTCTCAGTGTTGTATCCATTTTGTAGGTCTTCTTTGAGTCTAATGCTTTATCAAACTGTACCTGTACAGTATATAGTTTTATAGCCATGCTATTTCCCAGAGATTTCTCTCCATACATTCTTAATTGTATTCATTTTTACATCTTTATTCTTCCTCTGGTTCATTCTTTCATTTCACTTATATCAAATCATGCAGAAATCTTTCCATATCCTTCAAAGTAGTTAGTCATGTGTAGTTTTGACCATGTTCCACTGAAATCTAAATTATATATACTCTTATGTATACACAGTATATGACATATATTTTCTTATTGTTGAAAGATGGCATTTTCTCTGTCTTGGTCAGCTAAGTCAACTTAAAAGTAAATATTTTAATTAGCATGTGTAAGTTTTCAGTATCCAAGTTAAAAATAGAAAGAGCTATGACTCTTAAGTCTTAAATTTTGCCTAGCCTTGTGATTTTTATGTATATTGGAGATTAATTACATGGACTGTAATATTTGGCTATTATTAGTACAGTAATTAACATGAGGAATATCTTATTATTTACATTTTATTTTTGCAGAATACTAACTTCAATTTCAAGTTTCAAATACTTTAGTAGAACTGTGTGCTAGCATAGAAAAAAACCATTATCTATACATGTGCTCCATGTACAGGTATATAATATCTAAACAATTCAGTTTCCCTTCTTTATTTGCACAATAGATGGATAATTTGCCATCCACTTACACTAACAGTAAAAAACATGACAATGCATAGCCACAAGAGTAATCTAATCCTAGTAGAAATAAGACTGGGCAACAGAGATTATTGATGATTATCTAGGATTACAGTCAACTAATCATCAGTGAAGGAAAGAGTTGAATAAGGTGTAAACCTTAAATCTTTCTGCTGATTATTTTTCATTCTCATTCTTATGTTCAAAGGGGAAACTAGGCCTAATTCTCTTCCTGCATTACTAATGAACAACATTTGGCATACACTATAAATTGAAATAATCGCCAAACACATATCATGAAACACCCACATTTTTTCTCTTCAGATATGAGACTCACCCCAACCAATACCTTCCACATTACCAAATTGGCAGTGAAACAGAAACAGAAGATGAAAGAAGCAAGCTACTAAACACATTTGATGACCCTTACAGCATAAACTACCAGCCTCCACCAATCAGTCATCTCCCAGAGGATCGTAATGGTGTCACTTATTCTCCATACCGAATCCGCAGTAATCGCAGACATGATACTGTAAAACGTTTCAGCGAGTTTGGAGGCGACATGTCTGTGATCTCTGGTATGGAGGATGAAGAGGAGGGAGCCTCCCTTTGGGGGGGTGCAGCTTCCAATACATCTGCATCAGACCTGGATAATGTCTGTGATATTGAGGACTCAGAAGTAAACTCGGAATTTGAAAATGATGATAAAACAAAGAAATAAATACTAAGTACCACTAAAACTGTTCATATCTCTTGCAGTCTTCAAAATTGGACTGGATGTCTAAATAGACTTCAAATATTTTGAGTGAAATGCACAAACAAAACAGTAGGAAATATGTATTTTTATATTTGAGAAATCAAAAGACCGGTTAGAAACTTCTCAAACAAGCCTAGAGTGATGGAAAAATACTATATTAAACTGTGACATACAGACAATAACAGGACTCTCATTTATATTTCAGCTGCCATTTCCTAGTGCCTGTATGCTGATTAAGTAAAATAAGGGTTCATATAACTTATGTATATCTTCCAGTGTGCCTAACATCCCAAGGTTTTCATTAATTCATATAATGACTCAGAGAATGGTTCTGATATTTTCTTGTGTGAACCTGAATTGTGATTTCCTTGGGCAAAGTGCCAATTTTTAATTGTTAAAGGAAAAACAAGGACTTCCTATGTATGAAGTGTCAGTAAGTTAGACCTACTTTATAGCACTGGAGATGATAGTTTTTGTGAGCCAGGAAGTGACTGTTGGAGATATCTCCCTGGAATATATAGATTCTCAAGGTCTATGGTGCTATTGCAGTGAACTGTGCAAAAATAGCTAGCAGATATAGCAGTTTGCTGGCATTGACTGGGCCATGTAAGAGTGCTGTGTATATAAATGTGTAAATAGAAAAAGTTGTCATTGTATATAATTTACATAATGTGTTCCACAGAATGTTTATATTTTTTGCAGTGTGAACAGACAGGGTTAGATTTTTTCAGGTATGTTGTGCTGCCTGTGAGGATTCTGGGTATGTAACCAATCACAGTTTTGGCTGAATGATCGATTAGTCTGTATTAGACATTTAGCAATCTCTATGTAGTTTTTATCACCATTTGGACGACAGTTTAGTACTCTAAACCCATTTCATTGTTGATGGTATACTATCATTAATACATTTGTTTTATATTATTTTGAAGGTATTTAAAAACTTAACCCAACTGTTGTGCAATTAAATTTGTAGAGAATATTTTAATACATTTTATTACAAATTTCTTATTTTTCAAGTGTACTGCATTTTTCAATTTACCCCTGTGCCAAAGGTGGCAATCATTTTCTTGTGTCCACAAGTGTCCTTGAATTGAACAGAGCAGAATAGAGATTCGGGTCATTGACGAGAGACATCTTGCTGCATGTCCGATATCCTGTGGTATGATACCGGCCCGTGTCCTGACTGCCCTGAATGTAGCTTGCAACTCTTAAGATTAACTGGAATTTAACAGCTTTTTGTATAATCCTTTTAATTCTTATGTAATCTTTATGTACTGTATATCAATGATAAATTGATTAATCTATTCCAGTATAAGCAGATCTCCAAACAGCTTCCCAGAAAAGGCTTCCTCTTTATCAGTGGAATTCTTTGTACACTGTGGTTAATCATCCAATTGTGTAACACATGCATTGTAACTAGAGATTCAGATTTATCATAATTTACTTATCATTAAGTGTGTGTGACGAGGCCTGCAAAAATGGTTCAGAAGTAGTTGCTGGTATTTTAATTACATTCAAATATTTTCTGGTAATTTTACAGTTAATATTAGGGTTAATGATTGCTGCTTGGTGTTGCTGGTCATGCCACATACAGTGTACTCTGTTTTTGCTGTTTTTTCAAGCTGTCATATCCTCTTTACCATTCCGTTCCTGATAGGTTATTGTACTAACCGAAGTAATTGTGATAATAGCTGTACTCTGTAAAGGAGGAATTCATATTTTTTATGTGAACTAATACAGGAGTAATGGTTATATTAAAACAGTTTTATGGATAATGTATGGTTGCCTTGGCAGCTAATGTTTTATACAGATTTTGTAAATAAACTTGTAATAACTTGTAATCATAATGTCTTTGTATACCCTGCAGTTACCGGTTAACTTGTAATGTTGACCAACTATAACCACCTAAAACAGATACCTGGTAGTAAGAGAGATGATATTTAACAGAATTATATAATAAGGTTCTATTCAAGGAATACAGTATCGCCTCTACTTACAAACTTTCATACATATGAACAAACCTGTCTGAATGTCCTAAATTCCATTCAGTGCAAAAGTTATCAGTTCTAGCAACGCTCAATAGATGGCATTGGTGTACTACTCCCAGCATTCCCAGTCAAGCATCAGCCATTTTAGTTGTTTTTGTTTGAAGTGTTACGGAGGTGATAGTTCATTTCTTGTGGCTTTTAGGAACATTATTGGCCGAGAAGTGTAAAGGTAGTGCCTGATGAGAGTGTGAGTAAGAAAAGACGCATAATTACAGGTGCTCCTCTACTTACGAACGAGTTACGTTCCTAAGGCTTGTTTGTAAGTCCAACTATACTCTTGTAGATACCAAACATACATACTGTAAAAAAATGAAAAGATAATGGATACTTAGTATAGCTATACCCTATAATACAGCCTTAAAACCTGGCTAACTCTTCTCCTCTTAGGTAATGTTTGTTCTATCTGGATTTTTTCTTCAAAATAATCCGGTCTCATCCACATTAAACACCTGTTCTGGCAGGTAACCCCCCCTTGGTGATGATGTTTGTATCTCTGAAAGTTTGTAAGTTGAACATTCTTAAGTAGAGGAGCACCTGTACAATGGAAATGAAAAATAAAGCAAGTGGAAAGAGGTGATAAGATGATAAATGTGGCTCGTGCTTTCAAACTGAATCATTTGACTGTTGGTATGATTTTAAAGGACAAAAAAAATTATGGAGCATGTGAAATGTTCTATGCCTATGCAATTGATTATTCTAAGAAAAGAAGAAAATTGCATGATGAGATGGAAAAACTTTTGTTTGTGGTTGTATGTTTCTCAGGTAGGGAATACATTAAATTAGTATGGAGTACTGTGCTGTACATTAGGTATTTTTCATATTTAACACATTGTTTGCAAGCGATGTAGGTGACTTTGGACTACCAAACAGACCTCCAGAACCAATTATGATTGTAAAGAATTATAACTCCCTTATATTTTCTTTAGGCTCCCAACACTGTCACCATCTATTGAAATGTGGGTATTAGTGGAAAAACTGTTTCAAACTGTGTAATTTTAGTAATGAAAGCCAAGAACAAGGAAAGCTCAAATCAGGTATTTATTGGTATGAATGTATTACAAGAATCTATTTTTGGAAATGTTTGGATCCAATTACCAGCAAAGACTAATTCAAACCCTTGGAAATGAGGCATTAGTGCAATGTTTAATAGTAGTAGAACAAACAATAATATATATATATATATATATATATATATATATATATATATATATATATAAAACGAGGAAGTTTCCTGTGGTTATCAGCATATATTTGGATCACGCACACCTACAGTGATTTATTGTAAAATAAATAGATGTGTCTATAGGTTGTTTCATTGAAAGTCCTGATGCGCCAAGATTAACATTGACATTATTCTGGTGGGTGTGTCTCATAAGTAAGACAAATAATGTAACTGTAGGAAAAATCAACGTATTCACAGACTGCTTCAGTAATCCTTTGTTAAATGCCAAGAATCATTAACATTTTACTTAAAAAATATTATGATGGATTTGTTTCCTAATTAATAAAAAAGACTGATTGTAAACTGAAAATATCGTAAGGTAGACATGACGATAAACTGTTTCACTGTCCGTGATAATACAATATTAACATGACTTTTAGGTTAGGTAGGATATAAATATTGGTGGGTTGGCCAGAAGAAAAACACCTAAATCGTAATGCGGCCCATGACTGAAGAAAGGTTGCCCATGCCTGGCCTAGATTATGCCATAGACGGGCAAGGGGGGACCTACTTGAGGTGTATAAACATCTCAAAGGGCACTACTCAGTCGAGTGCCCTTACCTGGAGCTGGCAGACGCTCACTCCACAAGGAGACACAGCTCAAGGTTGATGAAGAAGACGCAAGTCCAGAAAACCGAGGGGTAACTTTTTTGGAGTGAGAGTTGTGAACTCTTGGAACAATCTGCCAGAGAGTGTTGTAGTGTGGTCTATGTGGCGCAGTTTATGGCCACATACACACGTACAGTAAGGGAGATCTTGCACTCAGGATGGAGGTGAGAAAGGAAACTCAGAATACCTTAACTCTACATGTAATGTATGTACAATACAGTGCTAGGGAGTTACTGTGTGGTGAGGAGTTTGTTGAGAGGAGGTTCTGTCCGTTTGGGAGCATTGAGTAGAAAATGCCTCAAATTTCACCATATCATAGTAAGTTCTCTCTGTTTAATATACAGTCAACCCTCGCTTTACGCGGTCCCACATTCCGCGTTTCCACGTTTACGCGGTACCCTGCCGAAACAGGAATGCTCACATTCCGCGGTGCGTGTACCCCTTTACACGGAGAACGGCTGGCGAGCCGCGCCATTTTTGGATTCAAGCCTCCCGCCATCCGCCATGTTGTGTAAGCTGCGCGAGCATGGTGCGCACAAGGTCGCCTAGTCATCAAAACATTACCGAGTTCTTCACCCGCCACAGCCGGCCCAAGTCAGTGATAGTGATAATTATAGTGAAGACATGGACTTATATGGACTTTGAGGGGTTTGACAAAGAGGCCCTGCAAGCCTCTATGGTGGATAGTGATACAATTGATACAAGTGATACAGGTGAGGGCCAATAATCTGCCCTCTGCCTCGGAACCAACCGCCCATCCCCGTGTGCCCAGCCATCTTTTCTACTAATGTAAGTGTTAGAAAACCTAATATTATTGATATTTCTCTTAATTATTAATTGTTTGTGCATACCATCATCAAGTTAAGATGATATTTTTACTACAACATAGTTGTGTGTCGTCAAAAAGTGGAGTTTGGGGGTCGGCCCGGACTCTATCTCAATTAATCCCATATGTTATGTTATTCACTTTACGCGTTCCTCACTTTCCGCGGCACCCTGTGGGTTACATTAACCGCGTAAAGTGAGGGTTGACTGTACTGGGGAAGTTAGATAAGGTTAGGTAGGTTCGTCAGGTTAGGTCTCTTCTGTTAAGTAGCTTTTATTTAAAAAAAAAAAACTTTTTAACATATTTCCACAAACTACAACACTATAATACTGTATAACAATGAATATCCGGCGTTTTTATAATTATTTTCAATCAATTTCGCTCACGGGTTAGTCCTATATAATTACCATAGTTTTTTAATTAGACTTGCCAAATAATGTACAAATGTGTCTTCTACTTGAGCAAAATTGGATAGTGGCCACAAAAAAGTTGTAAAAATAGGCTAAATAAGAGGTCAAATTAAAAAAAAATTACCTCACCTACATTAACCTACATTTTTATATGTTATTCTACAATAATAGCTGGGTTAAAAAATATATATTTTGCATTTTTTCCACCTCTGGTCCCCGAGATATGCTAGGGACTGTCAGTTGGTTGAAAATGTTCAAAGGAGGGCCACCAGACTGGTGCCTGCACTTGGGCACCTCAACTACCCTGAGAGATTGGGGCGCCTGAACTTGCCTAGCTTATACTACAGACGGGCAAGGGGTGACCTAATTGAGGTGTACAGGTATAAGCATCTCAAGGGGCACTACTCAGTCGAGTGTCCTTACCTGGAGCTGGCGGACGCTCACCCCACACAATCTGCCAGAAAGTGTTGTGACTGCACCGAGTGTGAGTTCTTTCAAGACCAAACTTGACCAACACTGGAGCAGGTTCAGGTACATTGAGTAACCAGTGCCTGCCCAGTACTGTACTTGCCAACAGTGCGTAACAGAGACGTGACCGATCGCCCAAGCGGCTAACGAGCCGATCAGTGATGAAGAAGATGAAAGTAAAGTAAAACAAGCACAGATTGGAGTGATTGGACTATACAGTAGTAGTATAGTACAATATATACAGGATGCGGCTTAGCTAACTTAGTTAGGATATATAATTTTGTGTTAGGCTGGTTAGGTACTAAAATGTTTGGGGAAGGTATGTCTATAAAGGGGGGTTGGAGGCAATTAAAGGGAGTAGTTATACGCACGTAAAGTCCTTTTAAACCTGGCTGGGCGCTGGGGCGGTCGGGAACAAGTGACGTCCACAGTAAACAATCCACGACCACGTAGCAGCAGACACTTGGCACAGCTGGTGGAGGACAAGATGTGACTTCTGTCTCAACATACAACAAACATGCACCAATGGTAAAGCCTCTAGTCATTATGTATATCATGTATGAACTGTGTGGAATTAGCCATGCCATTTAATGAGTGTATAGTAGTTGTTAGTGCATTAATGGAGAGAAATTTCCTGTGGGGTGAGGTCATGGCTAAAAGCGTAGTTTTTGTATGAGGTGACTAACCCACTTGGCAATATATTGTAGAAGTACTTACTATACTCAATTAACCATAGGAGGGATTAAGCTTGGTAAAGAGTCGTTGGTATTATTTCACTTGTTGCCACTAAACGTATCTCGGGAATTTTAAAGTTACAATCAGTAGTTTTGACGGTAAATGTTTGCGAAACTTATTTGAAGTTGTTTGTTGATTTTCTTTATCTTTGCTATACTTATTGTTTACATGATTTTAAGTATATTAAAAGAAACGAAAACTCTATTATAATCGTTTTGTATTTTTAAGGAATTTTTCAATTACTCCATTCTACGATCTTAAATTCCTTGTTAGTGGGCAGGTATGAAAGATGGGGGAAATTACTGGGTAAAAACACGGTGAACAATGATGTTATGGCATTAAAATTACGTTTCTAGGTGCATTTCAAATGCCACAATCATTTTCTTACCTTAAGTCACCTAATTCCCTGCTGCCTCCATTCCTCCCTCGACGATTGTATAAGTTGTGTTCCATTATTTCTGATCCTTTTAATAAAATAATTACCACTTTATTCTTCTTTTGTTTAATTGGTGAATATATTATCACACCGGTTTTTATTTCTGTATTAAAAATATGTATTGTAATGTTTACACAATTCTAAGACATTTTTTTCTATGATATTTCCACGGGAAATTAAGGATAACCGAGATATTAATTTGTCAAGATTAGTACTTTCACTCAGGTACAAATGTCTCCATGATTTGTTTACTTATGGTGGAAGTGGTCTGACCCCTGCTCTCACATCGCCCCAGGCCTCCGACAGGGGGTTAGGTTAGGTTTTCTTGGTTGTTTGGTAACAATTTGCTATTTATTCTAAAAAAAAAAATATAACTTTTTCCGTTATGATTGCTGGGTGGGGGGTTAGCTAAAAAAAAATACGTGATTTCCAGCGGAAATAAATATCAAATTCGTTCGAAACTCATCAAAATATTTAGGAAAAGTCTATTTTTAATATCGAAATAAAGACCGGTGTGATACTATAAATTGACCATTTATTTATTAAATGCATTTTCTGTTCTCTTTATATCATCTATAGTTTGTACACCACGCGATGATTAGGTGTTAGAGCATCTTGTTTACATCATGTTTGACCTGCATTGTGATTATTTTTATCGCAAATTATCAGGCCTGGTTCTTGATGATTCTCGTTTGTTAGCGTAACCATGGTTTAATTAACTCAATACTAAGGTAAGTTGTTTACGATTTTCTATTAGCATTATATTAAACACAGAAATAAAAACAACAATGAGTAGAACCTAATAGATCTTGACCTAACAAACCCTGTTTGGTCTGGCTAGCAAAATTTGGCCCACGGGCAGTATCTTGCCCACACTTGTCTTGGAGGATGAATGTAATTGTGGCACTTGTTGAGATTTTAGAGAGGGGCTTCCATCAGCCATTGTAAAATACTTAAGTGTGGAGTATCTGGAGGAAGCCTGCGATGTTTGGTCGGGTTGCACTGGATAACACCCTGCCCTCATCAGTCCCGGGTTAGTACTCAAGCCCAGAATACATTAGTGAGCGATACCATTATGTGCATACTGCTGTACCACCACTTGGTAAGCTGCACAACATCCCTGCTGTAATGCTATGTACAGGAGCACGGACATACATCCTGTTCTCTCACTTGATGCATTGTGACTGCCAGGTTTTGTCAGGTTACAGCTTGTTGGCAGAGGTCCCATCTATACTGTAATTTAATTTTTATGATTTTTTTTGAATTTGTTTTCTTTTTTGTAGCTATTAAGCAGGGATATAAACATATCAAGATAGTTTTGATTTGCTGAATATTTATCGAAGGAAGCAAAGGCAAACAATAATTTTCTGAAGGAAATGTGAAATACCAATAGCAAAATAGCTGATTGTGTTCATGAAAGCAAATTTATTTTTTTATTTATATATCTTATTTCTTGATAAATAAAAAAAATTCAACAAATCCATATATCCCGTATTTATGCATGGAAATATGATTTATACTGATTCAGTAGAAATTAAACTCACCAGAGATGGCTGAGAAAAGTGTTTGTAGATGCTCCTCACAGTAGTGATGGAGGTACTGTGGTGCTCAAATTTTTTACGTATTAAAGGAATGCATTGTTAGTTTTTTAGTCATATTGTACAGTGTATATGGATTGTGATAGGTACAGTACCGTACTGTATGATGGAAGTCACAGGGTATGCATATCTTCACTGTCGGTGAAAATTTTAGCAAGATTGGGGTTTTCTGAGGCAGTTCAGAACATAACCCCCTATAATTAATTATTACCTATGGGGAATTAGCTTTCAAGTTCCAAACAATTGCCTGACAAACTGGTCCTTCAGTACATAACCTGTTTGTTAACTAGGGTGTTCCTGTACTGTATCATAGGAGCATGTAATTTTTACTTCTGGCAGTATGCAGTATTCTACAGCTGTTCTCTGATTAGAAAGACAAATTCAGGCATTTTTTACCAGTGGCCCAGTTTTTTAAGATTGATTAGGGTTAAACTTTTGACTACCGGGTATTGAAATCAGAATACAGTGGTGGATTAACAAACCACTTCCTAAATGATTGCCATGGGCATCAATATTTCACATTAAAACTTGAAGGCTATGCTTGAAAAATTACCGTAATGTACAGTATATGGTAGAGATGTGTTGATGGTAAATAATCAGAGAGAAAAGTGATTCATTCTGTTTATATTGAATTACAGCGCACAAATAGGGATCTTATTGTAAGTGCAATGTTGTGAATATTTGTGTGATAAAATGATAAATTTATATTTCTTCCAGGTATGGCAATTTTGTGCTACCTTGATTAACGATGGAGGCTGGTGACATCAAGGCAGACAAAGACTCTGGAACGCATCACTCTACAAATCTCAGCGGCCAGTACAGCAGCAGCACTGATTCCCAGGTTTTTGATGTGGTGGTCGACCCTCTGACAGACTTTGAGGTGAGTTGTGGATGTCACTTTGTAGTTTAAGGAGAGACTAATGCATTCCTCAGCACATTTCTAGACATAGCTATAGATCTTATTTGGGTGTTTATTTTCATGTAGGAGGTTTACTTTAAATTTATGTTTAGTGAATAAGAATCCTATAGATCTAACCCACTTTATTGAAGGTTAACCAATCCAAAAATAATTACCGTATTTTATGGCATATAAGACGCACTTTTTTGTCTGAAGAATGGCTAAAAAATTCAGCCTTCATCCTATATGTGAAGTTGTGCGGTCTCCTGTAAGCTAATGAATCCCCCAGTTGCTGTCTCCAGTAGGCTAAATTCTACCTCACCCAACTCCAGATTTAAAATGTTATTGCCTACTTAAACACATTATTATTTTTAAAAGTGATACAGTATTCCCATTAGCCGGAACAATTGGTGCAGAGCATTTCCAGGGATGAGAGATTTTCGGGTAACAAGATGACTTTCTCAAACCCGGAATAATTCCTTATCCCCGGAACTTTTTCCGGTTACTGGGAAGTTTCCCACTTATTGCCCACCACCTCCACACACGTTCACTTCCCACATATACACATCCATCTTCTTCATTTTTCTTATTTTATAGTTTTGTAATAGATTTTCTTTATTTCCAAGCTACATTGTTTATATAGAGTGGAATAAATGTTAAAGAAGTCCATTTTTCTGAGTGACAAATTTGTGAGGTCAGCTTGTAGCATTGTGCATTGTAGGATTTATTGGGGGATCCTAAGAGTGAGTGTAAATTAACCGGAAAATATATATTTAGCCCTTCTCAATCCCTGTAGGTGCCAGATAACCAGGGGTTCTACTGTATATACTGTATTTAGTTTCCAGACATCACTTGAGGTACAGTATGCAGTCTTGAGCAGTCATTCATATCACAGCAAATGAAAAAGTTTGTGTTTGTTCTTCATACCCTCCACTCTGTATCATCGCATTAAAAGGCTTGAGTGCCAAGAAAGTCTCTACACATGCATCATCCAGTGAGTATTTATCATTATCTCTCATATTACAGAAAGTATCAGACCTGAGCAATCAACCCATATCTCCCCAGCAGTCGTATAATTTGACATCACCTCCCTCCCCGAACGACACGTGTAGAGGAATACACAAGGAATGTACGAAGACAGACTGTAAGCAGTGTAAGTTAGAAGCATCACTCAGAGAAGAAAAAAAAGAAGTCACCTCCCTTCCTTCTAGTCCTGCCCACCCTGGTCACACCCTACTCTACAATATCATTGGTAATGTCTGATGTTGATTTATTGGGTCATAGTCATCTGTTGGATATCCATTTTAACGGTTATAATGGTGTTAGCAAACTAGCTTAAAGACTTTATGAAATACAGTCAAGGAAGATAATACTTAAACTTTCATGTTTGTATTAACATAGACTAGTCATGAGATTGAGTGGTTCTGTCTCTCTGTTCATACTTTGCATCTTCCATTAACCTTGTTACTCAATGTAACATCAACCTAACCTAGTCTAATCTAACTTAACCAATCCCAACCTAACCTAACTTACTTTAATGTCCCCTCTTTTTATACTTTTAGCATGACACGCCAGCTGTAACACATCCATTATCATAACTTAAGAAAGACTTGTATTTAATATATGCATGTAAGATTTATATATATGGGTCACTATAGCCAGCTCATGTGTTAAGAGATTTGCAATGAGGGATTGACAAACAGAAATCTTTGCATGAATTTACTGATGTTGGACACTTGTCATTAGTTTAGTTCAGCGACTGCATGAGAGCACATGTAAATAGTAATATGTTGATAAAGAATATGGGTATCTTAGAATCCACAACATGTTAAGAAAAAACACTGTCTCTGAGTATATTGTCAGATATTGCAGGGGTACTTTTTCTTATTTTCATTTTGCAAGTGCTAGAATTTTTAAGCATGAGTTTTCTAATCCATTATAATTCTTGTCAACCTAACTCGGGATTGAAATATAAACTATAAAATTGAATAATACTCCTTGTCTCTTGAGTGGGTGTAAAGCGCTATGTACAGTATATGGTTGCTTTTTTCCCTGATATACTATACCCTCATTACTTGACAAAAAAACGGGGCTCAAAGCCTCTGGGTCACTCGAATTACCGAAAAATCAGAATTAACCAAGTTTGGAATATTTTTACATTATTCAACAATTTCCAAATTTTTGCTACATAAAATAATCTACTATTTATAATTACTGTGCAAGCATAACTCTTTTTTAAATGTACCTGTAAATACAGTAATAATAAAGCAAATACTACTGTAATAAATAAATGTAACACTGTGAGGTAAGCTGACAAGGTGTGAGGTGACAAGGCACTTACACAGCACACACACATTAACAGCACTACTAAACCATTGTCTTATAACATTTTAATTTCTATTTCTGTTTTAAACTTAATTGATACATGATAGCTCGATTTGGCTTAGACAACTAATCAGTGAATAAACCAGGTACAGTATATGGAGACTCATTATACACTAAAGTAATATATTTATTAAGTTCTGATCAATACGTTACAATATTATTTATTAAGTGCTTGAAACAGACCCTCTGATAAGCACCAACCGTTTTGAGAAGTGACAACAATGGTGCTATTACCACTCTGCTGTTACCGCTCCTTAAACAAGATACTGAGAATATACTATGGCGCAATAGCATGTCTGGGAGTGAGTGTAGGATTTTTTTAGGAAAATTAATTATTTTCCGGTAATGTTTTATTAACCTGGCACCAAATTAACCTTAATAAAATTTAACTGTAATACAGGTATGGGAATTATGGTGAAATTGCATACTGTACTGTCAATATAAAGGGATTACAGGATGGCGAGCAAGGGTGATGAGTTTTCCTCTCCTCCCTCCTTCTCTTCCACCCACCGCCTTCTCTCCCCGGCTACACACCAACGTACTATGCACAGTATCTTAATATAATTCATATTCTATTCCTATAATTCATTCATCTTAACCTATTTCATAATATATTCTAATAATAATAATCGACTTTGCGGAACTGCTTGGTTATTTCAAATTTAAATGGTAGCACTGATATGTAGCAAATGAAATAATTTACTTAGGATATATTTATGAATATGAGAGTCTTCCTCTTCTCAGACCAGATCATATTTTAAAAATTATGTTATAAGATTGTGTTATTGGATGGTTTACAATAATACCTAGATTATTTTGAAATTGATTATGCTTGTGGTTTAATAACACCAAAAAGGGCTTTTGCTAGCATGTTTGGAAATGAATTGTGTAGCACCTCTAAATAATATGTAAGCACCATACATATTTGTAGATAATTATAATTGTAATTTTTAGACACTGTAAATACCTGGTACTCATCTTCCCCAACTAGACTCACATCTATGGAACAGTGACGTGAGTTTAGTTAGTGATAGTGGCAGTGGTGTCGGCGAGGGTAGTATTGGTAGTAGTGGTGCTGGAGGCAGTAATAATCACCATCGTCTGGTAGTTGCTGAGGTTCACCGCTTTGGTTGTCGGCCACCATGTGCAGGTTCCCCACATGACCTAGCATCATGCCCTGTTGTTACTGCTGCGTCGGCACCACACAAGGTTCACCAGGTGAGCCTTTTAGAGCTGGATCTTCAGCATGGTCTGTAACTTAAATACTATATTGTTGTACTGTATATATACGTGGGTAACCACATAGCATAGCTGAAATCATTTGAACTACCAATTTCATAATGTATTTCCTTTAAAAGCTTCTCCAGGTTATTCAGTCAGTACACATGTTTGCTTTTTCTTCTAAATGAACACTCAGCACTCACATTATTCGAAAGGGTTTGTTAGGATAAGTTTATTTCACTATCATCTTTCCACTTACTTACATTTCTCATGCCATTACACACAGGTCAATTTTCTTACTTTTTAATTCACAGCTTTGAATGTTAGGGGGAAGAACATTAGATTAAGTCTGTATGTTTGTTTGTTTATCTGTTGAGCATTAGGGTCTATATCTTGTGTAAATGTCTCCTGTATTTTTCACATGATTTTTCTGTATTTTGGCAGAGTTTTTACTTTTAGATAGAAGATTATTCATGTTGTTGTATTTTCACGTAAATGAATTTGTATGAAATAGATAACAATGATATATTTTGCAAGTTAAATCCTCATCGAAATTCCATTTTCCATTGTTGATTGTCCCTCTTTCAATAATGTAATTGATTATCCCCATTGCTTGTACAGCATGCCGTGACAATTTGCGAATTTCTTATGCGCAGACCTCGATTATTCACGGATGACACCCTGGATGTACCCAAGAATGTCTAAGGGTAGTTTTAAAGTTGCTGGCATTTTCACGGCCGAGACAGGGAGCCATTCTTTCTAGACAGTAATTTCTTTTACCTGTATTGTGCAATATATGTGTGTGTGTGTGTGCACACACACACACAAAAACATACAAATAAATAATAATGGGAAATTCCTCTCACAAATAATCAGAAACAAGACAACAAATTTGAGAACAAATTTGAGTCTACCCTCAAGTCAACTCTGTGCTTTGTTATTAAACTTAACTTTAATAAAAAAGTACGGAGTTGACTTGAGGGTAGACTCTCACATCCATTCTAAATTTTGTCTTGTTTCTGATTATTTGTGAGAGGATTTTTTCATTATTATTTATTTGTATGTTTTTGTGTGTGTGTGTGTGTGTCTGTCTATGCACACACACACACACACACACTCATATACAATACAGGTAAAAGAAATAATTGTCTTTAGGGCAAACACATAAAGGGATTATACATTTCTTTGCACACAAGTAAAAATGTAACCCCCCCCCCCGATCAGTAAATGTTAAAATGTTATTCACGGCCATTTTGAGACCCCAACCCCACGAATTTTAAGGGCATGCTGTATTGTATAAGAAAGTAAATCAGACACTTAACTGATACTGCAGCTTTTAACCACTCACAAAAGCATAATGCATGATCAGATAAATAGGAATTTTTTATAAAAGTAATTGTAAAAAATTTTCTAATTTGTAACAGAGAATGAAGGATAACTTATTGTACTGAATGTATTTGATGCAGGTAGTGTTTGTTGTTAGACTGCCAAACTTCTTTTGATAGTTATGCATGAAAGACTTTAGTATAAAGAACAATTGGGGCAACAGAAGATTGAAAAATATTTAGAGTGAAGAAATCGGGATTCTCTTTGAATGTAAGTTGAGCATGTGTGGCGTGCTTCTGCTGTACGTATTAGGCCCCTTCCTGTTGATTTCCAAACCTTTCTTGAACCATAGCATGGTCTGAGAGGTTAACAAATATTGGTACATCATCAAAATTCTTTGTATAATCGGAGTTAATTTGAGACAACTGATCCCAGTCTGACCCATGACATATGTGGATATAAACACATGATATAAAAAGTTAAGATCTATTAGCTCCAGAAAATTGGAAGAGCAGAGCTTCAAAAAAGGGTCAGCCACCTAATAATCAATATCACCACAGGTTAACATTTTCCTGTGTTTTCCAGAAAAAGTTTAAAAGAAGTATTAAACTCTTTAATAAACTCTTGGAATGTAAATAAAAATGACAGCCACTTTGATAAGTTGGCAGTAAAGGTCAATACTATAGCAACTTTTATAGACTAATAGAAAAACATATTGTATCTAAGTCAGCAGGCACTTACCAGGAAATGCACCAATGTGTTACTGTCCCTAACAATTTGGAAACATGAAATACTGAATGTCTTATGATGAGCAACTCAAATGATACTGAGAACTGACTCAAACAATCAGGTGTCATGTGAACAGCAGGTATCGTTTTTTTTTATTGTACTGTGTATTCTTTTATGTAAACACTCATTTGCTATGTTACATTACTCCCAGAACTGTTCTTAGGTTAATGATGTGCAAGTGGGTGTGAAAAATGCAAATGTGTGAAGAAAGAGTAAGTTCTGCACTGTATGTGGGAAAAGTGCAAGTCTGTGTATAAAATTCAAGGTAATGAATTAAACATAATGTTATGTGTTAGGAATATTTTAGCAGAGTATGATAAAGTATTTTGGGTGTATTGTATTTATTGTTTTATTAAATGTTTTCCAGTTGCACAAGTATACTTCAGGTAAATCCATTGAGCCGGTCAACACTTGCGATGCTTTAAAGGCACTGAATCAAGCCGCCTCTGCTTTAGCCCTCACAGAAACTCTAATAGGTGAGTTCAAATTAAATATCAGTCCATTAGAAGAATTTTATAAATCATTTTTATTTATTATAGGGAAACATATTTGTTGAGCACCTAGTACTTGCAGGTGTTTGGATTACAGAGTGGTTCAAGATATATCAGTCCACTTGCCATAATTGCTTATGCAAGCCTTATTTAAGTTATTTTACATATGAGCAGATGTGGATTTATTTTCCTAGTTGGCAAGTACAGGCAATGACCATTATACGATGGGGTTAGGGACTTCAAAAAGATTCCATTCCTGAGCCCCTGGAGAGCCCATACAAGTGTTTTATTTTGCTGCTGTTATGATTAGATAATGTCTAAAAATAATTTGAATCATTTATAAATACAGGTAGACATAAAATCAATAAATTTATACAAAATAATTTTATTTATCTTACATGAACAAGTGTATGCATGTGTGTGTGTAGACTTGGCAGGTCGCCAAGTTAGATGTCACCTTAGCTGCAGCACCTTACCTCTTATCAAGGGAAAGCTATGCTATTGTTATTATTCACCTCATAATTTTGAGTAGATATATGTATTTTTAGTAATTTTCTTTTACTCTGTTACATGCACACACAATTGTTTGTGACAAGTCTAATTTGGCTACAATGCCACCAGCTATGTTAACAGATGCAAATGTAAAAAGAAAGTCCTCTGTAAATTTGTATTTATATCAGGTATTTATAGATTTAAAAATAAATGTTGCAGGTATGGCATAAATAGATACTATGTAGTAATGCTTGGAAGAGTTCAGAAATGGTTAATGCTTAGCTATCCTTGAAGAGTTGGGTGTCTGCCATATGGATGTTAATCATCTTGGGTTATCATCATCAGTACAGTAATTATTAATCCAGCTTTCATTTTAACATTTAACTTTTCCTAATTAATTAAAAATAATAATAATGTGTTTAAATAAACAGTAACATGCTTTTAATTCTGGAGTTGGGTTAGGTAGAATTTAGCCTACGGGAGACTTCAGCTTCACATATATTGCGCTGGTCGATTTCTTGGGCCATTATTCAGACAAAAAAGTGCGTCTTATATCATAAAATACGGTAATTTTCTTCATTTTCTTTTACTCTGTTGCTTGCACACACAATCATTCATATAGAATGTGCAAACAAAATAAAAAGTAATAATTTTCATAAGTTAAAAACATAAAGGGAATAAACATTCAACAGTTAGCCAACATAACAGGGGAAGGGGAAGGAGGAGCGGTGTGGGGGATCTCTTACCTGTTCTGTGTCTCATGTCCCGGGAAATGATTGCCAGATGACAACCTAGTATTTTTTTCTTTTATTGTATTATTATTATTACTGTACTACTGTATTATTATTTTTATGAGTACACTGTATTATTATTATTACAGGAGTACTATTATTCTTATTATTTATTCCTAACATTTACTACTACAGTGTACGTTATTATTGTGTACAAAGAATAGCCTCTTCTACATGCAAACCAATCTCTGGGCAATGTGACAGTTCAACTGCTTAGCCTGGCAATCACTGGGGATGGGCAGAACCTCCCGTGTGGGTTGCATGTTTTACTCCATTCCAGTATTGTGTCATGATATCTCCGAATATTGCGAGTTATTGCACAACACTTTCATAGCAGTGATAATGCATGAAAAGCCTTTGGGTAGCAACCATCGTAAAACTGATTGAGTACATATTGATCCATAATATAATGATCATTGCCTGTAATCTTTATGTACTGTATTACACTCATGTGTAAATTGTTCTCACTTTGTACATAATTGGTATCATTGTCTAAGACTGCCCCTGTATCGTTTTCCCAATTTTATGATAAAACAGATGACCAAGCCATGTAAGAAAAGGAGAGTGTACAAGAAAATAAAGAAATTAATAATGCTATAATGAATAACTTGTGTTTAATTTGGGTTCTTCATTTGTTTTAGGTCCACTGAGGATTCCTCCTGTTCCACAAGAAGTCTTAAATGAGGTAGTCAGTAACATGGAAAAGAAAGTTAAAGTTCCAGTCCCTGTTAACAGTGAAAGTTATAAAGACTCTACTAGTCCAGTGATCAGAGAGGCAGCAGACACACAGTCTTCCAGTATCACCGTCAGTCCATCTGACATGAAAACTGTGATAAACTCATTATCTGTGGTAACATGTGATGTTGGAGGCCAAAGTCAAGTGCCTGGGAAGATGTTGGGGTCTCTGCCTTCCATCCTACACCCAAGAGTTCATCAGCAACCCACTAATTCTGTCATTAGTGTAACCAATAGCACTGGGAGAATGGACAATACTCAGGTTTTCAGCATGTCATCTAAGGATGTTAGACCAAATACCTTAGGTACATTGAGACAGGATTCTTTGGAAATTATTCCAGAGAGACACAAGATTGCCCCACCAACTAGTAAAGAAAATGGCAGTAGAAGTAGAGTTATTACAGTTCCAGTGGGCATGAGTGACCATGGGCCAGTGGAAGTGTATAGGGAAGTGCATCAGTATCCAGCTGGCTCTATTACGACTGTTGTGGAGAAACGTTCATATGTGGGTCAGACACAACCAGATAAAAGGCTTAACTTAGGAACATCAAAGCACAGAAGAAATTCACACAAGCTCAAGAAGAAACAAGGAAGTAGTCACTATGCTTCCAAGTCATCTTTGGTTAGTGAATCATCTACATGCACTTCAGTAGCGAGTGGCAATACACTGGTGTCTCAAAGTAGTTCTGAACTTGTTCCCATTACACAGAGTCAGGCCTCATCCTCTAAAACAAGTCTAAATGACACACGTAGTGACTCTGCAGGACCCATATCCAGACCAGTACTGTCAGCAGCAATTATGCAGATGCGTCAAGCTTTAGAATCCGTTTCAAATGTTTCTGATAATCATTCCGACAGATCAAGTGGTGGCATTGAAGTTGCATCCAACTTCTCTGATACCTCATCTAATTTATCCACTCTTTCTGATCTTAGTGGATATGAAGATGAGTATATTAAAATCAAACGCCTTGTCTCAGATGCAGTCATACCTCCTGAGGATTATAAGAAAATTATAAACAAAGTGAACACTAAAACTTCTTTGTTAAAACCAGTGCCTTCAGTTGATTATGAAAAGGTTATTCGGGACCTTCAAGCTCAGAAGGAAGATCTGGAGATCCAGCTTCATCGGCTCTCCATTCAGGTACAGAATGCTGTACGTGAGAAAGAGCTGTATCAACAACAACTGGAATTGATGCAGACAAAAGTTACAGAAACCAATCAGAAACAGTATTTTGAGGTTTTGAAACAAAGAGCCAACCTGGAGGGACAGCTTGAACTTCTTAAGCAAGAACTGGAAAATTCAGTATATGAGAAAAATCAGCTGCAGTCTAAAGTTGCAGATTCCATTAAAGAGTGTGAAGTTAGCAGAAGTTTTGCTGCATCAGCTAAGGAAGCAGAGTCACAGATGAAGGCAAGATTAACAAAATATGAGGAAACAAACAAAGAGCTGGAGGAGAAAGTAAAAAGGTCAAAAGAAAAAATTGAAAGAATCACTAGGGATTATGAGAAAACAGAGAGAGAAGTTAAAGACTATGAAGGGAAGAATGAACAATTAGAAATGTCTGTATTACAATTACGAGATATTGAGACCCAGCTGATGGGAGATATAAAGACCCTGAGATCACAAACAGCACAACTGCAAAATGAGTGTCAGACCAGGTCTGAGGCACAGGCTCAGGCAGAATCATCTGCAAGCAAAGCTTCTTCTGAATTACAGACCTTACAGTCCTCAAGTTTATGGTACCAGGAGCAACTGCAAATTGCCCAATCTGCACGGTCAAATTTACAGCAAGAGCTACTAGAAGCACGAGCAAGTCTGGCCAGAGAGTCTACAGAGAAGGAAACTCTTGAGACCAAAGTACAAACATTAGTCCAAGAGGCTGAGGATGGTCAAGCAAGAGCAGTAAGAGAAAAGGCATCATTAGTTGCACACTTAGAGGCTTTGCAAGCAGATATGGCTGAACGTGAGGCAGTACTCTCTCAATTAGAGCGTGACCGTGGGAGCGATACTAAGTTGATGGAAGACAGAAGACAGAGGTTAGAACAGGATCGTCATCAAATACACAAACTTCGTCTCGATCTCTCTGACACAGAAAGACAACTAGACTTTGTTAGAGATGATCTTAAGCACAAGTGTAATCTCATAGCAAAGTATGAGAGTGAGCTGAAGGATTTGAGAACTACTTCAGCTGTAAATCATGAAGTTCTCAGAGAAAGAGACACTCGGATTGAAAATCTTGAACAAACGTTGAGGGAGATGATGATGTCAGTGAAGGATTATCAGGAAGAGAGATCAGCAAAAGATTTACTGGTTAACACTTTAAAAGAAGAAAAAATAAAGCTTGAAATTTCTTTTACTGCTGCAAGTAATGAAAAGAAGGAAGTAGATGATGCCATATTGAAGGTACGAGAAGATATGACAAAATTATCTTCAAATTTCTACAGAATGAAGCATGATTTGGCTGCCAAAGATCGCCAGATTGAAGTGTTTATGAGAGAAGCAAAGGATAATAATCAAATGAAGCAAGCACTAGAAATGAAGGTGGAGGCCTTAGAAAAGAATTCAAGAGAAGATGAAGAAAAGAGGGGACTTGTTCAGCAAGTAGATAGACTCCAATTTACTCTCAAAGAAGTCACTGAAGGAAGAGATAAATTGGATGGGCAGCTGACAGACTTAAAGAAAATCTCAAAAACATTAGAGATTGAAAAGAAGGGATTGAGTGAAGCTGTGCACTTACGAGAAGAACAGATTCAAAATATGCAAGGCAGTCTGGAAAGCTATCGAGAAGCGTTACTGAAGAAAGATGAGGAACTTTACGTCGTCCATGAGCAGAATTCAACAATGGAAAAGACGTACATGGAATTAAGAAGAAACTGGGAGGCTCTTAAAGAAGAAAACTTGGCTCTGAGGCATGATGCTGAGGCTTATGCAGAACATGAAAACATTCAGAAGAGGGAAAAATCAGATTTGAAGGAGAGCATCCAAAAAGAACGTAAACTAAAGCAAAGTCTGGAGAAGAAAATTGATAGTTTTTTCAAAACACATGAGGAAGAGAAAAGTAATATTTTGAAGGAAAAGGAAAATGGTGGAAAAAAAATCAAGGAACTCTCCAAGGAACTTCAGGCAGTCAAGGAAGAGAAGATGAAGACCCATGAAAAGCAAGTCCAGCTGGAGACAAGGTGCAACGAACTGAACAAGGAATTACAGGGTACAATTGAAGAAAAGGTTAGACTGGAGAGTAGTGTGAAAGATATTGTCATGGAACTTGACAGTTGTAAAACAAACCTGCAAAATAAGTTTGTAGTTATTAAGACATTAGAAGTCAAAGGTGAAGCATTATCCAAGGAAAATTATGAAATGAAAGACAAGTTGATATCACTGCAGAATGAGAGTGAGAAACAGGTAACAGAGCTACAAACTTCACTACAGGTCAGATCTGATGAGATTGCAAAGTTTCATAAATTGCATAGTGACACCAAGGCTACTGTAGCAAAATTGATACAGGAGAAAAGTATATTGTCTAGTCAGATGAACACCCTACAAGCTGAGAACACTCATTTGAAGAAGACAGGCATTACCCATGAAAATTTGGTCAAAGAAAGTAAATCTCCAGCTGAACATAATATTGCCAACACAAAGAAATTACACAAGAATTTTGAAAGTTTGCACAGGGAAGTCACCAGTTTACAGTTCAAATTGTCTGATTCTGAGGTTAAATTGAAAGAAACAATTAAACAGAAAGAGAACTTACAATCCATAGTGAAAAATACCAAAAAAGAAAATTTTTTAATGAAAGCAAAACTGAAGGAATTAGATGTATTAAAAAAGAGATGTAAGGAGTTTGAATCACCAGGAAAAGATTCTAAAGAACTTGAATCAATGAAAACCAAATTCAAAGAACTGGAGACAAAACTGGTTGCTAAACGTAATGAACTGTCTTCTCTCAACTTAACTTTGAACGAGAAGACGAGTCTCATCCAAACACTGAAGCAAAGAGAGCAGGAACTCTGTGTTCAGGCTGAAGTTTTACAAACTAATAAAAGGGAGATGGAGCAGAAATTATTAGGCCTTGAGGAAATCCATCAGAGAATGCATGAAGATGTTTCAAACTACCAGCAACAACTTAAGATAGCAGAGAGTGAGAGAGATGAATGGATGGCCAAATATGAGAGTTTAAGAGACTTTATTCCAGAGCGAGACACAAGCACTCAACCAGCAGTACAGTTAGGTCCAACAAGTACCCAATCTTTCTCTAGTGATCATGAATCTATATTAGTTTCAAGTACAAATGACAATGCTGAAAGCTTGGTGGGGAACTCGGTAAACAGTCTCGGCTTTTTTAGGGAAAGTTCCCAGACTTCTGTTTCTGATGGTATTCAGTTTGACAAGACAATGGCAGATCTACAGGCACAAGTTAGCTTAACATCAGAAGCTTTGCAGAGTAAAGAACAACAAATTCATGATCTTCAACATCAGTTAAGATCACTTAAGCAAGAAGGCTCAAACATTGACACTAATCTTCAAGCTTCACTCTTGTGTTCTGATGAGGTGGAACCTGAGTCAGTACATAGAAAACAAATCAATAAACATCTTGAGAGAAAGCAACAACTAGAGGTATCTTCCTCAACATGTTCTAATTGTAACACACAAAAGGAGTCCCAACCTACAAGAAAGGAACTGACAGAGATTCAATCACTGTTAAATAAGATCAAGGGCTTAGAATCAGAAATTAATGGAAAGGAGGTTGAATTAGAGGAAGCACAAACAAAAGTCACACTGGCGACGACCGAGTTTAGCGAAAAACGACGACGATACGAATCTAATGTCCGATTGCTGACCAGGAAACTCAAGGAACATATGAAAGGACGAAAGGCAGCTGAAAAAGAAATGCAGGCACAGGCTGAGGATCATCAACGATTAATGAATGAAGAGCAACAGAGATATGCTGTGCTAAGATGCCGGTGAGAATTGATTCTTTATGTAGGTAGCTTCCTTTTGACTCAATCTAGTATGTATGTATGATGATAAAAAGTATTTGTGTACATTACCTGTATTAGTGTCAAAAAATTTACCCATACAGTGTGATTGGAGGGTTGTAATTTAGTTGAGTACAATTAATTAAACTACTGTATTATCATTTAAGTGAAAATCTGAACAAGGATAAATATAATTCTTAATAAATTAAATTTTAGTAATTTATAGTTACTAAATAGAGCTGGATTGAGAAAACCTTTAGTCCTGCCATATTCAAATCGGAAAGGTTGGTATTGTTGCACGAGCTGTGGTTTTTGTTTTGGCGGGCACTCCGAGCCAGAGACAATCCATCCTTCAACCCGCACACACTTCACACCCCATGAACTTCAAATTTCACAGCTAAGGGTTGAATTATTATAGTGACCTGTTGTTATTGTTTTTCACTTGTTTCCTTGCAATATTAACTCTGTAATTAAAATATTTATATGACGATTCAACCAGAGATGTCGGCCATTTTTGTATTAGGGCTGTTGAAGTCCTCTTTTCATTTGTTGGTGGGATTCAGGAAAATTGTAATTATCAAATGGAATTATTCATTTTCTGATTAAATTAAGGAAGTTCTGATATAATTTTTTAACATGGTGTCAAGGTGATGGGTTCAGTTTAAGGTTATTAACATCAAGAACATTGACTACACCTGCAAACAAGTTAAATACTCTACTTTTCTGTGTAATATTATATTACATGTAGTATTCTAGACTTCTACTATAATATCATAGAACATTTTTAGTGGCCACCAAGAATTCTTGTGTTACAGTGGTGCTTTAAGAATGTAAGTGTAAAAGTTGACCTTAAATGATAATTAGTACAGTACAGTACAGTACAGTAGAACCTCAATAAATCAGAATTAGCTTTTTTCGGACTTTGAGATGCTCTGGTCACCAGAAAAAAAGAAATTGGGAAGATTAAATAAAAAAATAATCCTTATGAAATGAACACCACTTACTGAATACTGTTCAGTAGTCTAATCAGATTTGCTACAAGCCTACTGAGAACTAAGACACTTGAGTACTGTATTACTGTTTGTTGTATTTGCCATTTCTTGTCATTTTCTACACCTGCCATGCACTAATCTTCCTTTTAATTTCCTTTTTCTTGCTACATTTCTCCTCCCCAAAATTGGATAAGAGTTGAGGCAATAGGAATTTGTGGGTTATTATGGCTTGAAATTGAATGTTAGAGATCGCCTTTACTAACGTGGAGTGCAAAAGACTTTAAATAAATGTATTCACAGGTGTATGGAGCTGGAAGGACAAAGAGAAACCCTTGGGGGCCAGGTGGGTGGTTTGGAGAGTGAAGTGGAGGAGGTACGCACTGCACTAGGGCGCTCTCGCCAAGAATCCTATGACCATCACAACAACACCCTTAGACTCCAGAAGGAAATTGGACGATTGCAAGGTGAGTCAACATTCCATACACTCAACTTAATCCTTGGGTATGGGGTCCTATCCCTATTGAATAAAATTGTCTGGCATTAGGCAAATGTTTATAAAAAAAAACAATCCTGATAATACAGTTTAAGAGAATAAATGTAGGTAAGTGATGGGGGTGTCTGTATTATGCTTGATTTTGGCCACCCTGTACCTTACTAGGAAAGAACTTACTCAGTTATTGGTAAAAACAGCCCCATAACATATAGAGAGGAGGACTTTGGTCACCAACCCTCAGATATGAGGACAGTACTGTACTCAGATTGATTGACATAGTAATTTATTTTATTTTTGTGTGTGCGAGTGCATGCGTATGTGTAGTACCCAGTAGTATTTGGGCATTCAAGAGAGATATTAGTTGACTACACAAAATGATACATCATGGTGTAAAAACATGTGTATACAAAATGATTCTACTAACTTACATTTGTAAACAAAATATAACAAGTTTAACTCAAGTAAGTGCATGTTCAAGCTGGATCCTGTGGTGAGAGCTTTGGTGGTCAAGTTTCTTCCGACTTTTTTTAACTACCATATTTTACGGCATATTAGACGCAACCCCCATTTGAACAGGGAATATTTAGGAAAACTTATTTTGTGTGTACAGTAAAACCTTGCTAAGGTGGGCCCTGCTCAAGTTGGACAAAATTATTTGCCAAAAAATAAATTGTAAATTAAAATACCCTGTAATTAAAATATATATATATATATATATATATATATATATATATATATATATATATATATATATATATATATATATATATATATATATATATATATATATATATATATATATATATATATATATATAAAACAGAGCTTTAAAAAAAACAATGCAAGGAAGTGAAATTACACAACTGGGATCTGTATATAAGAAGAGAGAAGGGAAATTTGTAATATTAAAATATCTCGAGAATTTTCTTTACTGTGACTTAAAGGAGTATATCTAACCTAACAGAAATATGCAAGACTGCTGACAATTTACGAACACAAGTAACCAGCCTGGAGGACAGCATCAGACAGAGGGAAACACAGGTGAAGGAGATGGAAAGAGTGTTACAAGTAGCCCAGGAGGAGCTGAAACAGTCACGGGAAAATTGTCTCGGTCTCACCTCAACAATGCAGCAGATAAAGAGTATGAATGACCATATTCAACACAAGGTTAGTGTGAGAAAGTCAGTATCTCCTGGTGAGTACAGTATTGTATATACAGTAGTAATTTTGTTAATTTACAATAAATTATGTGTACAGTGGAGTTTGTAAAAATAAATACAGCTCTGTGTCTGTGTGACTGCATTTAAGTCACTGGGGGAGATGCGTAATTTAGACTCTCCGAAAACTTCATCAGTACCCTGAAAATTTCCAAGGATAAGAAAATTTGTTCTCCATACATGGAAATCTCTCAAACCTGGAACCACTCTACACCAATTAGTCCAGTTAACAGGGAGATTAATGTAGAGTATTTACTGTATATACTGTAGTACAGTACAGTAAATAAAAAAAAATAAAAATAGGATTAAGGAAATCAAGAGTTTGCAGGAGTACTGAAGACAGGAATTTAGGCATAATTTAAAAATATATATTTTATTTGAACAAATAATTTTGAAATGTTTGTTTCAGGAAAAAATTATGACTATAAATAATTTTGGGGGGGATGTTCTGTTTCAGTTTGATGCTGCAGATACAAACCTCACAGCTGTGAGACAAGACCTGAAGGCCAAGGAAGAAGAAATATTGAGAGAGCAACAGACTATGAATCAGTTACAAACTGTGAACACTGAACTAAGGTGTTGTGTAACTGAGAATACCACTAAATGTGAACAACTGTCTTCCGAAATCAAGCAACTGAGAGAAGAGAGGCGAGCAGTTACTGAAGAAAATCAGAGCACCAGAGTTCACCTCCAGGACTCCCTAGCCAAAATTACAGCACTGGAGAATCATATTAAAGTGTGTATACTGATGTTAATTGTTGGCATAGTTTAAAGAGTAGGTCTTCTTATATGAAAATTACGAGATGTGAACAACAGTGACTATAGGAGCAGTCCCTTCTATTATCATAAACCTCTCACTCACGCAATAAGTTTTAAAGTTTCTATGACCACAACAAAAGTCATATGTGACCTGTCGTCGCCACTCGCGTGCAGTCTCGGCATCTTTGTTTTCTGGCCAATTTATGCCAAAAGATTTTTTTTTTTTTTTCATATTTTACACTGTACATCACTGGCTTCATTATTGTTATGGCTTAAACATTGTTATAGAAGCAGTATTTTATGAGCTGTTCAATGGTGACTTTGAAATTTTTATGCTTTATTTACCTAATGGCCACCCACTAAAGGTGGCTAAGCCGAGGGAAGGAGGCCAGCGGCCTCTATAAGATTCCTCCATTGGACCGGTAGACCGTTCCATAGGTCTACTACCCTCTATGTGAAGTATTTCATTATATTCATTTTGCATGATAACTTGGCAAGTCTGTAGATATGTCCTCTTGTGTTGGTGGTGCATGACATCACAAAGAAATGTCCCGGATTCATGTGGCACGATTAGGTGTCAAATAAGCAAGTATGTCATCCATTCAGGATGATGACCCAAAGAGAAGCTCTAAATTACTTAGGCTCATCTTTTCAAAAGTTTTTGCCCTTAGAAGCTCATTGAGCTCCCAATCCTATAGAAAATAGTTTAATTGATTTCATAATTGGATAATGTTCTTTCTTCCTCTCCCAAAGCTTTGTTATCAGCCAGGTGATTACATATAACCTTGGTCACTGGGCACATTACATCCTGCTGGCCTTGTTCATTAACACTTCCAATTTTTTTTAAGTACAGTCAACCCTCACTTTACGCGGTTAATTCAACCCACAGGGTACCGCGTAAAGTGAACAACATAACATATGGGATTAATTGAAATAGAGACCAGGCCAATCCCCAAACTCCACTTTTTTAGACACAATACCTACGTTGTAGTAAAAATAACTTCTTAATTTTATGATGGTATGCACACACAATTAATAATTAAGAGAAATATCAATAATATTAGGTTTTTTAACACTTACATTAGTAGAAAAGATGGCTGGGCACACGGGGATGGGGGGTTAGTTCCGAGACAGAGGGCAGATTATTGGCCCTCGCCTGTATCACTTGTATCAATTGTATCACTATCCACCACAGAGGCTTGCAGGGCCTCTTTGTCAAACCCCTCAAAGTCCCTATAAGTCCATATCCTCACTATAATTATCACTATCACTGACTTTGGCCGGCTTTGGTGGGTGGCGGGTGAAGAACTCGGTAATGTTTTGATGACTGGGCGACCTTGTGCGCACCCTGCTCGCGCCGCTTGCACAACATGGCGGAGGGCGGGAGGTTTGGATCCAAAAATGGCGCGGCTCGCCAGCCGCTCTCCGTGTAAAGGGGTACACGCACCGCGGAATGTGAGCATTCCGGTTTCGGCAGGGTACCGCGTAAACGTGGAAACGCGGAATGTGGGACCGCGTAAAGCGAGGGTTGACTGTACATGTAAGAGAGGAAAGCAGCTATGAAAAGTAATAGAAGACAGATAAGGAACAAAGCCAAGAGAAACAGTAAGAGATTAAGAAATGGATAACAACAATAGCGTTAAAAGTTTAATAATTTATGGAAGCCAATGGAATAGAAATGGAAGTAAGAACTGCCATTGGAATGAAGAACCTTTAATAGTTGTGTCTTCCAGGGTAATTAAGAGTAGCCAACTTGATACTGTACCTACAGATATGTTTAGTTAAAGGAAACTGACTGATAAAGCTACTGTAGTTGATATATCTTCTCTTCAGGTGGTTGAGGGAGAGGTGAAGGCTGGCAAGGAGGAAGTGAGTCATATGAAGGACCAGTTACTGACCAAGAATACCAGCCATCAGGTAAAGGTGACCCAGCTAGAGCAGAGTGTAGCCCGGGCGAGACAAGAAGTAGTCGCCCTAACCTCGCAGCTAAACCAGGTGCAGCAGGAGAGAGTGAGTTACCAGTCCCAGGCCACTGAACTCCGTACGGCCCTACACTCAACCCTAAGACAGCTGAAGGTCAGTAAACACAATAATAAGAAAGTACAGTGGAATATCTTTCTGAAAAATTTGAGCCTGTAAAGATTGTCCTAAACACATCTGTATTCCATATTTCTGTACACTAGTACCTCATCATTCACAAGGGATAGGTTCCTGGCATATAAGATGCACCTTTTTTTCTGAGAAATGGTTAAAAAAAATCAGCCTGCATCCTATATGTGAAGTTGAGGTCTCCCGTAAGCTAATAAATCCCCCAGTTGTTCTCTCCAGTAGGCTAAATTCTACCTAACCAAACTCCAGAACTAAAGATATGTTATTGCTTACTTAAACACATAATTATTATATTTAATTAATTAAAAAATAATTATTGTAAATATAAAAGCTCCATTTATAACTACTGTACTGAAGACGATAACCTGAGACGATTAATCATACGGCAGACACCCAACTTCTTAGAGGTAGCTAAGCAGTAACCATTTCTGAACTCTTATAGGCATTACAATCTATTAATGCCATACTTGCAACATTTATTTTTAAACCTACAAATACTGAACCTGATACAAATGAAGATTTACATACAACTTTCTTTTCACATTTGCATCTGTTAACATTACTGGCAGCATTGTAGCCAGGTTAGACTCGTCACTGAGACTACTGGGCCAAGCTGTGAGGTGTTATGTTTGTCTTCATCTTGTATTTTTGGGTAGATATGCGTAACTTTCTTCATTTATTTTTACTCACTTACATGTATACACCATCCTACATACATATTGTGAAAAGGTGAAGGAAATAACTGCCCTAAGGACAAACACATAAGAGGAATATATATTTCTTTACACGTGAGTTAGCTGGCTCAGTAGGGGAGCGGGTGGAGGCGAGACGTGTGGGGGGGGGGGAGTTTTGCTAGGGAATCGGCAAAGGTGTCGTCTCTGTTGCTATGGTGAACCAGGGCATGTGTGCAAATGACGACTGTTAAACTTTCATTTGGCTTTTATTTACTGATTTGGCAGTACAGTATTTTTTGGGCAACTTATTTATTGGTATTATTTTTATTTATTCCTCACATTTACTGGTACTGTATTGTATATATTATTTTAAGAAAACTATGGCTACTGGAGGAAAATACACAAAAGTTTTTTCCTAAATACTCCCTGCTAAAATGGGAGGCGCGTCTTATATTTTGTAAAATACTGTATGGTAAATGTTAATAGAGAAAACTCAGAGGTTGTGTACAAGGCCGGCTTCCTCAACAGAGGAGAGGACATTCCCTCCCACGCTACCCACTCCTCCCCCAGCATCAAAAAGAAACAGTAAGACCCGGATTTACCCTGGCACTGGGAGATGTCGAACAGTTAATGGGATCAGGCACCATGGAAAGATGCTGTTCTGAGCCTCAGGTGTTTTGTCATAGTCAGTGATAAGATCACTGAGGCAGGCTAGCTCAGTAACCACCACACTCAGCTGCTGCTTGGTAGGTCACACCACACCTCCTGTTCACACGTTCTGATCAAAACAAACCACCCCACTCGCTGACATCATCAAGATGGCCGCCCAGATATTGGATGGATATATGAACGATAGAGGTTCTGTGTAAACGGGACTGCCCAGTATGGGCCATTAAGCCTGCTGCAGTTTCCTTCACTCTTATATTCTTATGAACTTGCACTACTGATCGTTATTGTGTTGAAATGTATCGTTAATGTGTTGAGGTGTCACATTTCATTACTGTCGTTAGTGTGATGAATCGTTAATGTGAAACTTGTTAAAGTGAAGTATGTACTGTATATTCCTATAATGATCGTCCAAGGGGATGGCAAAAACCACACAGAAAAGATCATCAAGGTACAGTAGGATGATACCTGAATCAAGCCTGCTTAAGGAGACACGAGAGCATAGTTGAATTGACTAGAGTGAAATTTGAAGCCTATTGTCACACAACTTATTGGAACCACTCAGTTATTTTGGATTCATTTAAAACAAAGCTACGAATTATAATGATCTGAATTAACGAAAGTACAGTGTACGGTATTTCATTATTTATTATGCATCATTTTTATTGTTTATTAATTGTTTGTTTTTTTAAACTACAGCCGTCATTAATGGAAATTAGCTTTTGGGATATTTCACGAACCTTGTGTTCCCCATGGGGGTGAAATAGGGAATCCTTAGCTGTTGGTTACGGGTTAAGACATGAATCGCTTGGTCTTCCAGACTAGCAATTGTCGACTAAGTAAAGATGTGTGTGATGTAGACAATTTTGTTATGAACATAGCATCAAGCCTTGCATTGATAACATTGCAACCCAAGATCTATTTTATTAATGTACAGTATAAGTTGTTTTCCAGACACACAAAGAAGAGGAGGAAGTAAGAGCAACAGAGGATTCAGCTATTAAGTCAGAATTTGGGGCTATCCCTTCTCCAACTCCTTTGGATCTAACTGCTTTAACACAGTTGATGGAGAGGTCTGCACGTCCACTGCGACCTACACTTCCACTTACCAACTTAGAGTCGTGCTTGTCATCACTCAAGGCTGAGGTCAATATGCTTCAGACTCAGCTGCAGAATAAGACTGAAAAGATGGCTGAAGGGTGAGCTTCTGATAAACATCACCTAAAACTTTATTTATAGTCTTGCATCCAATGAAAACTATTATAGAGACATTTGAAGGAATAACTGGTGTTTAGAGGCATTGTCATTGTCACTGTACATAAACGTCTTTGAATGATTATTGCATACATCACTCTTCCATATTTTATAGAAGATTCTTATACAGCATTATATAACATAGATAGAATTTATGAATTTACTCATTTTTATTTCTCCTGCATGATTCATTTAATTTCATGTGTATAGTCCCCTTCACTAGTGCGTTTACAAGCGGCGTGTCAGGTTTTGTGCAGTGTGGCAGTGCTGTGTTTCTTTACATTTGACAATAGGAAACTCACAAAAGTAAAAATACTATGGAATCAAAGTAAAAAAAAAAAATCTGAATGTAAAGATTTGTGGAATGTTTATATTTTTAATAAGAAATGCACTGATTAGACTGTGAATTAGGCCCAACATAATAAATGTATGTGTGTGGACTTGGCAGGTCACCAAGTTAGATGTCACCAAAGCTCCATCACCTTACCTCTCCTCCTGGCAAGCAAAGCTGTCTTATTGTTATTTTTCAATTCATAAATTTGAGTAGATATACTGTACTGTACATATTTTTATTCATTTTCTTTTACTCTGTTACATGCACATACAATTGTTCATACAGAATGTGGAATAAACTAATATTCACCACCACTATCATCACTAACATTCACCACCACCAACTAGTGTTTACAGGATGAGAACACAATCAAACTGGGGTAACGGAGTGGTGGCCTACAGACTAGCAGAATAAATAAAGTCGCTCGAGTGGCTCTGCACATTAGTAACATGTATGGTGCTGGTTGGTTGTAAGTGGTGGGGGTGAGTGTTGGTGGAAAGGTGAGTAGTGTTGGTAGTGGTGGTGAGTGTTACTATTACAATACAACTGTCAGTTGTGTTTCACCATTTAGTAGGTAATAATTAAGACAATGTATTGTTTTTTTTGTAATAGCTATAAATTAACCTGAGTATAGTTTTCATTTTTACCATTATGTACAATACTGTGATATTTTTGTTTACCTAAACTCTCCTCCTCCCTTCATATATGAGGTTAATCAAGGCTATTTGGCAAATATTTTTTTTTCCAGAACAGCAAATCATTACCTTCATAAATTTCAGATTGAATGCTGAAGTTGTAGCTGTGTCTGAAACCAAGAGCTCAACTCCTAATGCAGCAGAAAGCTGTACCAAGGATACTGGCAGCCAAGAAATAGAAATTGTGTAACCTGTTGATGTAAATAGTTGACATTGACTCCTGGTTCCTGAGGTTTGTGGTTTCTTTAGACTTTAGGAGTAAAGTGGGCAGTTAAGAAAGATTTGCAACAGGTTTTATTTTGGCATACAGTGATTCCCAAAAGATGTCCCTTGTTGACTGTGTGTCAAGTTAAAAAAGGGGCGCTTGTATAGTCATTATTTTATCCAAGCCAGAGATACTACTGAATTCACTTCCCAGAAACCTGGCCAAAATGCATGACTTAAACATGTACAGTATTGATAATTTGTTCACAATTATTTTACAAAAACAGGTCATGTGCTGTGAAGGTCTTTAGATCTTTAAGATAGCAATGAGACATTTCAGTTTTTATTTCTTAGATCTGTTTTACTGATACAAAATGATCTGTTTCTTTTAATGATTTTCTTAAACCTTCAAGTACAGATAAATAAACATAATATTTATACGCTTTAGATATTATAAGCTAAATCTGTATTGCAGTCCATTTGCAAGTATAGTCTCTTCTATTACTATGTGAAATATTATCAATAACAATTACGGTACTGAAACTAGATATAATGGAATGTTACTGAGTCTGTAGAGTGGATATGAAGAGAATTTTTGTTATTCTTTTTAACAGAAATGTGTGTGCAGCAAGAACTTAAAGTAGGGGATAACCCATTACAGTACAGTACCTAGTTATATATTGCTGGGGCATCACTGAAGTCTGTTGTAGGTCAGGTGGAACTCATTCATCCTAAGCCTAAATCTTCCTAATCTAACCAATAGAATTGATTGGGTGTTAGTCCTAATGGTTAAGTTAAAGTTAGGTTAGGTTGGGACTTCTTATAAATAAGCTTTGTTTGATCTGTCATAACTTAAATTTGTCTTTATGCAATAACATTGGCTTTTTCCCTCATACTAAGAATATAATGATATATTTGCAAACATAAATATGTGTTAATATATTGCATTGTGTGGATGTATGAGAGATAGTATATGTACTGTAGTATAGTACATGTTAAGAAAATGCTGATTAAATTTCAGAAATCTCAAATTTTCTAACATGGTTGCACATTGGACGAATCAGCCATACAGTTCTAAGAAGGAAGAGCTGTTGTAAGAGAATTTAGTTTTAAATTCTACTGGAAAAGTCCATGTACTAGATTGTATGTAAATATACCAAATGTTAATTAGCTGTATTTAACTAGTATTAACCTTTTAAATACAGTATAGTTTATTTCCTGATTTTATGTTTTCTTAAATATGATATCTTTAGAAATATTAATGTGATACATGTATATACAGTATATATTAAATACTATATTATACTAAGTACCTTGCCAAAATGTCATATGCTCAACAGCATAACTTGTGTCCTGTGATAAAAAATTACCTAGGTTGCTAAATCTATCCTTTGTTGATGTTGTAATGCAAATAACTAATTTCTATATTTTTGTATCTCAATGTGTTATTTCTTTAAATTGCTCTTGTAGTTTGTTTTTTGTTATTGTTAATGATTTCTGAGCTTTTTCTGTGTACAGGTATCTTTCGATATCCGAATGGGTTAGGTCCCCCTCCCCCCAAAAAATAAAAACTTTCGTTAGATGAATTTTATTATATTGAATAGAATAACTTTTGGGAAAAATATGGTACGGATCCCCAATGACAAAATACTCCAATATCATATCCCAAAAACACAGAATTGGTTCACAAAGAAGAAAATCTACCCAACTAATGATAAACAGTACACAACTTCTCCAATTTACTACCTAACATATGAAATTACAATAAGAACATAAGAATGGAGGAAACTGCAGCGGCCCTATTGGCCCATACTGGGCAGTCCCGTTTACACCCAACCCCTATCGCTCATATATCCATCCAACCAATGTTTGAAGCTATCCAGCGTATTTGAGTTGATGATGATGTTTGGTAACTTGTTCCACTCGTCCACTATATATTTCCAAACCAGTGTTTACCAATGTCGCGCCTAAATCTAAATTTGTCTAATTTAAAACCATTGTTACGAGTTCGCTCCTGGTTGGCTAGTTTGAGGGCGGAACAAAGGTGATATAATAAATCACCTTTTATCCCCGAGTTCCATTAATACACCTCGATCATATCGCCCCTCACTCTCCGTCTCTCGAAGGAGTGCAAATTAAGATGCTTAAACCTGTCTCTGTACTCCAGGTTCCTAATGCGTGGGATTAGTCTTGTCATTCTCCTCTGAATTCTTTCTAGGGATTCTATATCCATTCTGTAGTACGGTGACCAGAAATGAACTGTGTAATCTAAGTGAGGTCTCACAAGCGCAAGATATAGTTTTCGGATAACCTCGCTACTCTTGTAACTAACGCTGCTTTGTATGAACCCAGGTACTTTGTGAGCCCTGTTTTGAGCAACTACACATTGTTTACATGGTTTAAGATTCCTACTTATCATTACTCCTAAATCTTTCTCACGTGAAAGAAATTAATAAAATATTGTTTAACTTTGACACATTACCTTATGGCAGGGCAGTCTTAGCTCACCACCACTAAAAATTCTGAACTGATAGAACAATTCTGACTTCAGATTTGAAATCAACATGTTCAAATTAATAAAGAACAGCTATATTTTTACAGTAACAGACAAAAGTTTTGATTTTGTTGTCCAGTGTTATTTTTCATTTTTGCACATTCTGTATGAACAATTGTGTGTACATGCAACTGAATGAAAAAATATGAAGAAATTTATGTTTATACACCCAAAATTATGAGTTGGATATTAACCATAACATAACTCATATCTCAGCCTGGTAGAGAGAGTGTTAGGGGGATGTGGCCTTCCCTAGCTGACTCTCAGGGCTGTGTGATTTTTATTTTTGCCGGGATCCAAATTTGTAGAAGCAGAAGCAGGGGAGCTATCATAACACAAAGAAAGAGGTGGTAATTTAGCAAATTCGTATAAGTAATTTTTTTATCTTGAACATTCATATATCGTGGGATACCTGTATGTATAATTTGACAAATTTTATGATTATTTGAATTTATGTCAAGAAGGAATGCCTTGATTTAATTTTGATACAAGGCCAAATGTTTGTTATTTTGCCTTTCCCAGGATATACCTGCAGTAGATGATTCCATTATTGTCTTCCAGGACTTGTGACTGTAATAATCAATTCTTTCTCTCGTACTATTATTGTTATTTTACATGATGGCTATTATAATGGTACTCCTTCAGTTATGTGCTACATATTATTTAGGACATTGCAGTAACAGCAAACAGTGTTGTCTTGTGGCCACTGAAGTTAAGGTTGCAGTTTAAATAACCCATAGTCCTAATGTATCACATGCTGGCTTAACCTAATCTAACCAGTAGGAGTGGAGTGCAGTATAATTCAGGCCCCTTTCCTATTGGTTAAATCATAATAGGTTAGGTTATGGCCCATTAGACTAGTCACAGAAGGTAATGGATAGGATAGTTGGGACTTGTATTATATGATCATGAATTGTGAATAACAAATTATTTATTTCAATTTTTCTAAGGTAGAAGGGACTTTTGAGCATGAATTATAACATGATGATTGTGGTAATTGTAAATGCAACATTTTGTTATGCTCTTAAGTTGCTAATTGATACAGGAAATCATTTTACTTTTTAATGTTCAGTGGTTCAAGAAGCTTCATTAATATGAAATACCTGATATGGTTTGGGCACTTTTAATATTGAAACATGAAAAACTTGTTAATGCACAGTCAACAAAAATTTTGCACCTTTACAGTGTTAAGCAATATGACATACTGGACCAAGAATTCTGAACGACACTTGTGAGTTATGGTTTATATTGGAAGTACTGCTTTCTAAAGTTGCCAGTTATCTTTCATTAATTTCACTGTATTAACTATATGTGATAAACAGAATACATCATATTGGTTACACAATCAGAAATACCAATGATCATGGCCTCAATCAGTGATCGTTGCAAAGGACGTCAGACCCAGGGGTGCAGAATTTTTTGTTGTTGACTGTACAGGAAGTATGTAGATAGTACCAGCGTATATTATTTACATTTTTAAACCATATTTGATATTGTTTTTTATGTGGAGTTAAATGAGGGGCTCATTTGTTGCAGTGTGGTGATTTTTTAAGGAAGGATCTGCTGCCTGTGGGTGAAGTTGGTCTGTATGAAGTAACAGGTAAATCAGATTTTGGACGTAAAGGGTTGAGTTGAAAAAATATAGAGTATATATAAAGATACAGTATACTACACTAATTCCCCCATTAACATTGTTTTGTTTTAATGTCGTTGAAAAAAGGAAAAAGAAAATGTGTATGGAAATGATAAATGTACGATAATTAAAAAAAAATGGTACGAAGAATTGCCAATTTAGCGCTTTGCGCACTAGATCTAGTGTTTTTTTTTCTAATCTAGTGCCAAAATTTTGCGTTTGGCGCTTTTCTTACATCTAGCGTCAAAATTTTTGCTTTTTCAATTGATGGGAATTTTCAAGTATTATAAAAGAATATCTTAATGTAAAAAAGGAAGTTTAATCAGAACTTATCAAAAAATCAAACAAAACAAAGTGAATTTTGTATGGAATTCCTGTCCAAAGTCCTGAAGTTCAGACATCACTTGAACTGAAAATGTTCAGGACCTGAACGCATCTTTATTCATAGGAATATTGTTAAGTCAAAACTTCGAAACAGACTTAGCATCAAAAGTTTAAATGCAGTACTAACTATCAAGTATGGACTAAGAAGAGATGGAAGTTGTTGTTATGATTATAAACTGCCTAAGGAAGTGTTGAAAAGCATTGGGTTATTAAAGACATTTCAGTCATCACAACTACAACCAGGATCCTCACATGAACTGTAACAACCTGAAAGTGACCTTGGACAAGATAAAGACATAGAAGAGGAGGTTGGAGATTGGGAATAAGCAGATCTGGAATATTGGTGAGTAGTATCAAATCATTTGTACCAGTAATATTTGTATAATTTACCATAACTAATTCCTAGCACTTTTTATTAGCTTCTTTTATAAGTTTAGCGCTTTTGGGAGTGAATCTAGCGCCACTTGAAATTTTCAGTCGGCAACTATGCTGATTTTAATAACAGCTGGCTGTGTAAGTGACCAGCGTGGGCGCCATATTTGTTTGTTATTGTTCGGTCGTTGTTTGATGCTTTTCCAATATTCATTCAAAATCCAATTATAAATTTATTTGACCCCTAGAACAATGAGTGCTAAATGTGCCTTATGCATCACTACTGGTTGTGGTCACAGAAAGAAGAGAAAAAGTGTTAAATTAGGTGTGGTAAAGAGATTTGAAGAAGGACATTGAGCTGTGGACATATCAAGAGCTGTCGGTTTGCAGCCTACAACTGTAGGTAAGAACTATTTGTGGAAATGCGGATATCAAATTGTGCTAAAAGTGTTACTCCTTTATATGCTACAAAATTAACTCGTAAAAGAAGTGACATTATGAAAAATATGGAGAGAATACTGAACAAGTGGATTGAGGATCAACATCAACAAAACTTTCTATGTTTGTTACTTTCCAACCAGGCAAAAGCTCTACGTTTATTGAAACTTTAAAACAAGAAGAAGAGGAGAGTAAAACATTTATGGCAAATTGTGAGAAAATTTTGATCAGAAATGTACCCAAGGAACATAACCCCTATTTATATCATTTTCACTTAAAGTCGTGGTTTTCAGGAACCTAACTAGGGCGTTAATGGAGGTATTGGTGTATATAGCTTTAAGATCATTATATTAATACAGTAAGGCCCTTCTTCAAGAGTAACCAATTAACGAGAATTTGTTTGAACGAATTTCAGGTTAAGGATGTGAGAATTCAATTACCGAATATCACTTTAATTTAACAACCAAAAGTTTGAGCGAAAAATTGCTTACTGTATATGCTTGCCTGGACCCTCACTAAGGAATACACTCGCCTCTGCCCATTTTTTAATGATTGGTTCTTTTATTTTTACTTTTATTAGATTTCATACTTATGGTGTATGAGAGGAAATAATAACATCTAAGTAAGGTGACTGGGGGTAGGGGAGGAGGATGATATTGCTCATTACAAGTAAACTTAATAATGAATAATAATAATTAACGGTTTATTGAAAGAGCTTGGCAGCCAGAAGGCTGAAAATATACAGTTACATATTTGGGGAATGGGTTTCGAATTACAAATAATATACAAGTAACATAAGTGATACAAATAAGATATATAATAACTAGATGGGGAAAAACTCAAACTACAGTGCATTTCAACATAGTGACAGTGCAAGAAGTAGTGTTTACTGGGAGTGAATACACTGGTTTATTACAAGTTATTGATAATTTTTACAATGGTTGGGACTGGGCTGTTCTTATAGCGATCAGTTCGTGCACGTATGGGCTGGATGCGGTTGTAGTGTCGAACAGCAATTCTCGGGCTAGGGATCTCAGGTGGTAGTAGGAGCCGGTGTCGAGGATGGTGTAGAAGCTTCTTACCAAATTTGCAGATGAGGTTGTGGTGATGGTCAGTGAGAGTCGAAAGGGTCAGTGTGTTGAGCGCTTCTTAATATGTGGAGTAGGAAGGGGAGAGAATAATCTTGCATGCCCTCTTTT